GGAAGTAAAATTACGTTCAATTGCAAAATTTTCAACACATATCACAGTTTGCATAAAAATAAGTAATTATGTTACAAATCGTGAAGAGTGTAACACTGAAATCTTATCTTACCGAACAGTTTTTCTGTATTTTCGAGTAACATGAAAACGCGTGATTCTAGTTCGGATTGCATTTTAAAATGAATAGAAATTTCGCATAGCAGTTGGATTTAATCAAATAATATAATTATTCGGTAAGGTTTCATCTTTATTTCAATTGGAATTGGTTTATTATATGTTAAGCTATGCACAGTACAGTTTGACGTCAGTATAATTGGAAATTAAGGGGTCTATACCCGGAGTTAATCCATAGGGTTTCCAGGATTTCAAATTATCTGCCCTAGCCTTGAGTGTAGCTAAAATCTACGAACCAATCAAAAAACGGTTTACAAACCAGTCGTTTCCCGTTTGATTTTATAAGGGTAGATAACCATATTCATGTCCATTTACTGAATGATTTATGTAAATAATGTATATATTTCTAATTTATTTATATTTAATTGTATTATCACTATCTGTAGTATGTTTCGCTGATTTCAATTATGTATAACGTCTGTATGTTTGACTTTTGTTATTATTATTACTATTCGGTCTTTTGTCTGAGATATTTCATTCTGTTTTTTTATTATTTACCAATTGACTTCAATGTTAAATGGCTGTAACAGCACAGGCTACAACGTTTTGCTCAACATTCCGTCAGTTCCAATCTTTATAGGAACAATGGGGACCACATTTGGCAATCTGCTCATCATAATGTTGTAGGGGGTTAAACGTTTAGATTTTTTGCTACGGGGATTTGATGTTGACTGGGGTGAAAATCTCACTTCCGACACAATGATTGCTCAGCAGAGACATTTTACACCCCCTATCCCTCCGCTGTAATATCATCAGTATTACCCAAAACTGCTATGAAATTGCAAATTTGGTCCCTTTCTCCTGTTCTAGACTAAAAAGTCAACCCAAAAATACAAGAAGAGGTGAAAAAAATTAAGGGAAATATTTTCTATTTATAACTCGCACTACATTCATGAAATAAGGGGAAATAATTACTAGTCTAAGTCCCGTGGCTTAGTGGAGTAGATCTGTACGATTACACACCTCAAAACGAAACGAAGCTTTCTATTCTGACCTTAAAGGAGTTAACCCTCTTTGATTAACTCGACTAAAATATTGATTTAGATGGATCTGAGCATTTCGATAAATAAACCGGAAATCAACTGTACTTTCGTTGTTGGTGGAAACTGTTGACTGTTGAAATAAAAATCAGTTATATCTCACCATTGTGTTTGTGGACAGAAAACCAAATCGTGAAACAAATCATTTAAATTTAATTAAAGCCATTTTACACCATATAATCATGTCGCATCATTTTAAAGCTCTTTCAAATTTTAGAATCGCGTGTAATCTTACGAACGGAATCATTTGGACATACACATCTATCACCACACACCAACAAAAACAAGGCGACCTTTACTTGTCCTAAATATATTGATATATTCAAAAGTTTATGGCATATTAAAAATGAAGCGACATCATGAATAATCAGTTTTACAAACGATAACGAATGAAAATAAACGGCATATTACAATAGGTGAACCTATTAAGATAGATAAATACACCGTAAATAATGGCTAAATCAATGAGATGTAAATAAGGTTAGGGCGCGTGATTGTTGGCGAGATTATATATAGATTAGGTTTAAGAATTTGGGGGAGAGGTGAAGTCTCCACATAAGCACTGACCTAGGATGATGAAAAGTTAGTTCGTGATATTTCCTAGTTTTATTAAAAATACAAACAATACATTAGATTTGTATACAAAGGCGATTTCACTGTTTATTGATGTTGGTGGTACTGATGGTCTTCCTTGGATGGCGCTTCTGGTGTTCTGGTATTATTGTTTCTGAAGAAAAAAGAAAAATTTTATTTTTAGAATATGCAATTATAAGTTTCTGTGTGAATATTTTCGGGTGATTTTTTTGGAGATCAGTATAGTGTTTTCTGATGATTTTGGATGTACTTGCGGTAAATGGAACTACAAAAGGGACTATTGCGATAGCCGTATGAATATTCAAACCTAGGGGGGCTGTTGTTTTCAATTTGTCAATCCAGAATTTTTCTCTTGTTAGCCTAAAGGTTTTAATTTCTTCTGTGGTCTCAAGGTCGCTCTTGGTCTTTTCTATTGACGTGACAATGAGATCAGAAATATCATGATTTGGTTGGTTGAAATGAATTTAGACCGGTTTGTCTTTTTTGGTGACTATGTCTGATCGGTGACCGTTAATTCTTTCCCTAAGTGCATTTCGAGTCTCCCCCACGTATTGCTTGTCACATTGTCTGCATGAAATTAGATAAATTATGTTTGAACTATTGCATGAAAGTTGGTCTAATATTGGGAATTGCGTGCCAGATGTTTTGTTATGGAAATGGTCGGATATGTTTAAGATTTTGCATGTTTGACATCTTGGATGGACACAAGTTTTGGTTTTAACTGCTGATTGCATATTATTTGTTTCTTTGGCGGCCAGCTCAGCTAGAGTGTTGTTTTTTATACGTCGTAGATCGCGTTTGGAGTATCCTCTTTCTCTTAGTTTGCTAAATACAAGCGTACATGCTGACTCAAAGTCGGTCTTCTGAGTATATATCCTATGAAAACGGAGAATCTGAGATTTTATGATGCCAGAGAAGGTATGTTTGGGGTGAAAGGAGCTCTTGAACAATAGTTGATGTGTATCAGTTTCTTTGAAAAATACTTTAGTTTCTAGTTCGCCAGTGTTTTTGGTGTTGCTACTTTTAAAGACGGTGGTGTCAAGAAAATCTGTGCTGTTATGACTTACATTTGCGGTTAATTTAACAGATGAATGATGATTGTTCAAAATGTTGAAAAACGTCCAAAATTCGTCTAGTGTGTACGTCCAGACTATGAAAACGTCATCTAGAAAGCGTCCATAGAAATCTGGTTTTAATGGACAGAGTGGCAGAACTTCCCTTTCCCACTCCGCCATGAAGAGGTTTGCATAACTTGGGGCAAATCGTTTTCACATCGCAGTTCCGGAAGACTGGAGGTATACTTGGTCGTTGAAAGCGAAGTCATTCCTCCTCAGACAAATGTCGACTAGTTTGAGGATTTCTTCGTCCGGCCTGGATGCTTGTGGGTTCCTAAGAAATACTTTCCTAACTGCTTCAATACCTGTGTTATTATCAATGTTCGTGTACATGCTCTGTACGTCGATGGATATTAAAATGGTGTGTTCGGGGACTCTTAACTGTTTGATTTTGTGAATGAAATCGTTAGTGTCTTTAAGGTAGGATGGGTGTTGGCATGCTAGGGATAATAAGAAATGGTCTATATATTGTGATACGTTGTATAATTCGCTGCCACAGTCTGATATTATTGGGCGTCCCTTGGGTAATTTATTAGGTATAAACCATTCTGTTTCTGGATTTTTATGTATTTTTGGTAGTGTATAGAGATGTCTTTGTCGGCAATCAGATTTAGCAGATAGATAATCATATTGTTTTGCTGTTATGTATTCCTTATCCTGCAATTCATGTAAGATGTTGTTTATTAAAGTTGCGGTGTCTTTAAAGATGGGTTGGTCTAATTTAGTGTAATGTATAGGATTACTTAATTGTTTTTCTGCCTCTGAGATATAGTCTGCGCGATTCATTATGACACAACACGATATGCCCTCAGTCCTGCACCACGCCGGAAAATCATATGAACTTTCTCAGCCAACACCGGGATGAAAAACGAGACCCCCAGATTAGCAAGCCAACGTCTTACTCACCGAGCCACCAGGACACTAACAGTATCGTATCTACAACCCTTATATATTATTACACATTGATTCCATTCATATCGGAAGCAGAGTTAGTCAATACACTTTTTTATTATTATTGTTATTTATCACAATAAAAATATGAAACAATACTTAATGATAAAATCAACGGCTAAAAATGAGCTCAAAAGGGATGGGGTTTAAAGTCCTACTTGCCTACCCCAACCAACGGGGTTAATAAAGACGAGCAATTGCCCTGCAGTTTGCTATAAAGGGAATGTTTGCCCGAACAGAGACACTTCTGCCACTCGTATTCGATTTCCTAGTTTCAAAGATTCTTTTACGTGCACGTCAACGTTTGCATAGCTTAGCATCTCATCTCGAGTTTTCCTCCCCTCCGAACGACTGGACACTGGCAGTGACACTGGTAAACGACATTGGAAAACCCGGAGAACTGTCTCGGCCAACCCCCAGATTGAACCCGTGAGCTTCTAGTTACTGAGCAAGTGGCTTACACACTGAACATACAATATAGTGTTATTTATTTATTAATTATTTATATCTTTTTCCCATTTGTTTCACATTTCATGCTCAGGTTCTAGTGAATATTAATGATAAAAAAAACCGACGTGCATTAGGCAAGTTCCCCAACCTTACAGGTTTATTGACAATCGAGCTCGTCAAAATCTTCAGGATTTCGAATAGATAAAGGTGACATTTTGAATTCTTTGGTGGTATGAAGATATAAAGACAATATAAAATGACATACTGGGTATTGAAATTATTGAGAAATCATTTGTGACCATTCACCATAATGAGCATGCCTTTAGGTAGGTTTATCCGGACCCGCATCTTCCACATTTCGCAATACTCATCTTATAATTTTTCAATTATACTGCTCACTGGTTTCCCATTTTGAGCAGTAGGCTTAATGAATGACATTGATCAGCATATTATTTCAACACTCCGCCAAACCATTCAACCTGACGAAGAGCGAGTCGTTGGTATCAACATAATAGTCCTGATCACACGGTGGCAACACCAAACGACGTCATAATAATAGTTGCTAAGTAGAAGTATCAAAATCATAAATTTGTTTGACTTTCATGCTTAACATGTAAAGCGACAACAAAGTAGACATTTTTTGTCTTAATAATAGAAATGACACTGAACAAAAAAAGAAGTTGGATAATACATTGTCTTAATTTAGAAATTACATGAACAGAACTACAGAAGTTAGAAATTACATGAATAGACGTTAGAAATTAGACGACAGCATGTTAGAATTTTGAGTCAAATATACTGCCATATTCTTGGAGCTGTGTATTTTTCTGCAATTCTCCTGTATTGTCTGTAAAAATGTATTTTATGTTCATGAAGTGAGTACTCGGGAATGCGATTTCACATCTGACAAAATATTTCAACGTACTCGTTTCCCGTTAATAGAACGAAACCCAGAATGTGCCAGATTAATAACCGTGTCTAAATTTATGACAAAAAACCTCCCGCCCTATCTAATGAGTAACTTAGGTTGAAGGACGAAAGGGGATTGAACATTTCCTGGGGGGAGGGGGGTATGCGTATCTGGAAAACATGACAATAAACTATTTACCGCTTAAAAGATATACACCGAACAACTTTATATTTCAACAGATCAACAACTTTATAATTCAACAGTGGGCCTAACATCAGAACAGGGTAGCTGTAGTCGAGAGATAGAATATTTCGGGTTCGAATCCTGCCATCTTGGATGTTTTTAAAATTTGGCTCTCATTTGTCAAGGGCGACGCCCACCGTGGATGTCAATGAAAATATGTACAGACCCTCATTATTATTACTTTAAAACGATGGTTTTATTCTCTGAAATAAAAACAATAATTAATAAAAATTAATTAACAAGAAAATAAATGTAATTAATTTTCAATAATATTATATTCAAGATAACTTTCTACTTACAGAAGATATTTCCCACGTCCCACGAGCCGTCTTTTGACTTGATAAAAAATATTAAAAATCATTTTAACTCGTAAAATAAGATAAAATGTCTATATTATTTCAACGATGGCATGCATGGTAGATATATTTTACATACAATCTGAAATGAAATGAAATGGGGCTTAGCCTCCAACTGGGCTGATGAAGACGGGCATACACCGTATAGTCAGCTACGACTAAACATTTGGCCGGACAGCGGTACTAGGTTCTACTCGAGTACCAACTGTCAATGGTCCTTTAACGTGTATACTACATGTTGTCCCTTGCCAAGGGGGATTACGCCGCGAAATCCCGATTAACTTTCTCGGTCAAAACCTGGATCGAACACGGGACCCCCAGGTCAGCGAGCTATTGTCCTACTTACTAAACCACCACGGCTACTACACCAATCTGATTTGAATATTCCTTGAAAAACTGTAATCAAATCACGTAATTACCAACCGTGCGTTCTCCAAAAACGTACGTGGTACTTTTTCATCTGTGCATAATTAAAACAAGAGAAGAATGGTGTGGAAGGAAAACCAAGAATTCTATTTTTACATCGTCTTTGTGTACCTGAATGAAGATTTCATACTCTGTAGTTCCTTACAATCAGCTTGTATTGCCAGTTTATAATCTTTGGCAGGACCCCACTTTTCATTGGGTTGAAATGATAATTTTATTCTCTGAAATAAACAAAGCAACCATGTGCTGAAATCGGATAGGTGAAATATTTTGCCCTCCAATTGTTGGACCAACAAAATAAAGCAAATATAATCACCAAGAAAATAATGGCAATGCATATAATAAAATACTACTTGGTATTCAAAGTAACCCGTTATTCACATAATCAGCAGAAATGAAACGAAATGGATTTTAACTTCTCACTGTCCCGCTCCGACTAAAGGCCCGGTCCCACTGCAATTACGGATGCAAAGAGGATGTAAAACGGGGAAAAAAACGTGCCCTCCGTTTGAAAACGCCATGCATCCGTTGTGTACTCATTGCATACGTGTTCCATACGGTCTATCCATCGAACATCCGTTCACTTTGATTTCATCCGCGCAAAACGTTTTGTGCTGCACAAAACTTTTATAACAGATGAACTTTCTGCCGTGTACGATGTAAATGCGCGACATATACGAGCACCAAACGTTCCATGTCCGTTATCATCCGTTAAACGTCCACTGTATCTGGGCATCCTCGCAACTCACATCCGCTCCAGCTGAAAACGGAAAGAGGGGGGGGGGTAAGGTACATGGAACGTCTATACATCGTAGGTAGCACGGAAATAGAAAGGATGTAAGCGTATGCATCTCGTATATAAAGTTTTCAAAACGGACAAAGCGTTTGTATCTGGGATGTATCTGGTATATTGAAGGATGTCGGAGCCGTCATCCACTTCCATCCGCTAGGCTTCCGATGAACATCCATTTAACATCCCCGCTACATACTTCCCACGTTCGTACTTTTCCGTTCTGTTTTCGCAAATTTTCGTCAATTTTGCTCGTCCGCGGTGTTTTTTGTGCATACGTTTTGTGTCCATCAGCCACTGGGACCGGGCCTTAGCTAATGAAAGTTTACTATGAAGGAATAATTTTGTCTGGACAGCAGCGCTAAGACCTACTCATATCGAATTTCACGCACTCTGTCCTGTATAACCAATGATCTTTCTCGGCCAACACCGGGGTTGATCACGGGACCTCCAGGGTAGCGAGCCAACTTCTTATTCGCCGTGTAAACGCCTTACCCACCGAGCCACATAATTAATTATAAGCAGTATAATTTGACTTTTCTTTGTATTATTGGCTTCTTGTGAAAATTTGTTATGAGTTGTGCGGTCTTGTTGCACTTACTGTCAGAGTAAGCGAAGTTTTATTCGCGAAAGATTGAACGATATTCAGTTACACTGGAGACTTGAAGATAACCTATTCGGAGTTAAGTCGCTAGCCCTCCGAAAAATTGACCATAAGCATTTTACAGTAAAAACTTGATCAATGTGCAGTTTAACTTAGATCAAGAAAAACAACCGAACAGATACATGCACGTAAGGAATCCGTAATTATGATTTTACATAGCTAAAACATTTGCGTAGTACTTATGTTTTTCAATCCATTGCTTATCCACGTTGTTTCCGCGTGGGTATTGACGTTAATGACGCAAGAGTTATTTCCCATTTCTAATTTATCGAAACCTGAATTTCAGTCTGATTTATCGAGTCACTCGATAGTCTGTTCTTAAGTATACCTGTAACAATGGACCTTTTCCAGTAATGAATTCTAGGATCATCCATATAGGTATAGGTACAGCAGATATTAAAGCTATAATCCATCCTATAGCACTAGCATATGATGGATACACATAGTTTCCATAAGTGGGTGGTTGATATTGAACTAGAGTAAATACAAGAATTACCTGAAATCATGAATTGAAGTATGATAAACAGTTGAACGTTGATCGTAATCAGAAATAAATATGGAACGGGCTCTCATGGGGGTCATTTCAGGACTAACAAATGCTTGCGCGTAGAGGTCTTTGGCAGTGCTAGGAAAAGAGAGGACCCGGAGAAAAACCACGAGGTAGGACGGACATGACTTGAGTATATAACATGGAAGTTCCACTACCATACACCTTGGTTTTAACACAGAGGCAGAGTATTCGTGTACATGTATTCTGATCTTCCAATTAATAAAGAACCAAGATACCACCCGTGCGAGATTAGATTTTTTTCAAGGTGGTTGAAATGCTCGTTTCACTAGTATAAATATAAAGCCCAGAAAGTGATCATCAATATAACAATACATATCATTTTGGAATATGGATTTCATGGACGAACACGTAGTTTTATCACTAACCATGACATAATGATCATTAAGCTAATAAATAAATAAAATGACTAGCACTACGTTCTCTGATAGTCTCAAACCAGTGCGAATTCGTGTTCACCTAATCTGAAAACTTACAGATAGAATTAAAGGATTTATAAATTTCCAGAGAATCTTAAACAGGAACAATGGCCGCTTTCCTAGCATCATTTCCATATCACCAAAATAACGATCCGCTCCTGTTGATATAAAAATATAAAGTATACAAATTTAAGGCGCCGGTTTCTAATAGAATCTGTTGCTATAGAAAACAGAAAATGCACAGTAAGCGCTTGAGGATGAACTAAAAAAGTATTTCGGGCTAAAGGCGACGGTGCAGAACGGCTTTACTGTGTTAAATACACAATCCTACAAAATCTACTCCAGAAAGTAGTGACGCTAGTCCTAGAGATATTTAATCTCTGAACGAAAAACTCCACAAGATTGGAATACTGCTTCAGCTATTCCTATGCATAAGTATGATAAGTACTTCTTCGAAAGCAATACCATTATTAGAAATCAACAAAGTGGCTATCGTGCAGATAGGTCTACTGCAGACTACTTTAGCTGACTTAGTGTGGGTGGACGGTTTCGTATAAATATTCCACAACGCAAAAATCAAAGGCTGCATGTATAAGTGGAGGGATTACTTTCTAAACAAAAGGCATAGACATATTAGGGTACGAGTAAAAAAATTGAAAACGATCTTCCAAACTATGCTCTCCAGGATGCCGAATCGGCACTCTTTGCAAACGATACCACATTTTGGGAGTCATCAAAAGATATTGAAAAAAAATCGACATTTGCAATATACTCTCGAACTAATTTCGAAATAGGCAAATGACTGGGGTTTGAAATTATCAGAAGGAAAGACAATAGCAGTGCTGTTCTATCCGATTGATAACAATAGGAAAATGGGGTTTAATTTGACGGCACAAGACTAGAATTTAAATCAGGGACTAAGTTCATTGGATTGGCCTTCGACTCACGACTGATATGGAAGCCACATATTGATGGCATTGTTAGCCGCACATCCAAACCCCTGAAGAGAATGAAATGCATGAAAGGGACACAATGGCTAATCGACGGATGCACTCTTATGTTAATATACACATCACTTATCCGGTCGATATGCGACTACGCTGCTTGCCGACAATCAACTGGGTAGATTCTATAGAATGCACTCTTATGTTAATATGCAGATCACTCATCCGTTCGATACTCGACTACGGTGCTTGTCGACAATCAACTGGGAGATGTTAATATGCAGATCACTCATCCGTTCGATACTCGACTGCGCTGCTTGTCGACAATCAACTGGATAGATTCTATAAAATGCACTCTTATGTTAATATGCAGATCACTCATCCGTTCGATACTCGACTACGGTGCTTGTAGATAATCAACTGGTTAGATTCTATAGAATACATGGTAATATAACAATTGCCCTTTTACATGAAGTGAAAGATCTTCCATTTGATCTCGGGTGAGAGGAACTTTCACTGATATAGTGGGCCAAGCTGCAAAAGCTCAAAGATGTCCAACATACAACTGCCCGTGATATTCTGGCAAACTTCAAATGATATATAGTAAATCAGCCCAATGTGCAAGGAACGATTATTGAGACTAAAACATTAAAACCATTATATAATATTCGTCTGTGGTGTACAGAAATACACAGTATACCCCTTTGGTGTTCAAACATACACCTGTACAAAAATACACAATAGACCTTCAAATAAAGACGAAACTTTACAAACGCCTACTATTAAATATAGCAAGGGAATAATAATCAAAATAACTTATAACATAATATACATATTATAAATATTTTAACTATACTTACCGTATATCCATCCAATAATTATAACCTCCAGAATTGTTATTAGAAAGACAGTCACGGCTGACATATACCAATCTACAAGCTGATATATATATATTCCTGCCTAGAATTAACGAATACGTAATAACTTAATATATAATTATCAGGAAAAGAAGTACCATCTCTAGAAAAGCCAACTGGTCTCGGCTGTAGTAAACGTAGGCGGTCTCTAATAAGTGAACAGGTAATCAAGTGGATGTATTTATAATACTGGGTTTGGAAATGTTGGAATATATTCACTCCATGAGCTTAACATTGAAGAAACCAATAAACGAATAAAATTTATTGGAAGAAACTGATAACAGAATAAAAAGAAATGCATAAGAGAGGATGCATTTAAATGATCCATAGAACTTATTTTTTTCCTTCCAGAATGAAAATGGGCTTAACATTAGAGAAATGGATAAAATAATATTGAAGAAATGAATAAAATAAAACCAAGTACGAACAATCCAAACCATCACACAAAATTCGAAGTCCTAAAAAAACGGTAAAGACAAAATAGTGTTATAAGGCAAAATAGTGTAATCAGCATATGGACTGTTCACCGTGTACAAAATACGCGACAAACAGTGGTAACAGGTGTTCGGAAGAGTAAGATTAACCTGCCTGGCGCCACACCCGCCATAGCTGCATCCAAACTATTAGGCGAAATCTCGGTAAAATAGCGTGATTGGCCAATGGACTATCGGTATGCAAAATGCACGTGATGAACAGTGTTAACGATGTAGTAGACATACATTATCAGGGATAGTATACGCCTCAATTAAATATACCTAGAATAATAGCCGCGAGAGACATGTTTCAAAGGTTTTAATAAGTTTAGTTCGCAAGTATCCCTGTAGTTGAAGCTTAGATGACAAATGCCTCGATCTACTTAAAAAATCAGAATAAAATGAACAAGCTGTCGCGTAACGAATTAGTTGAGACACAAACACTCCATAAGCTGGTGATATTGGAATGTTACTACTAATAAATGGAAAGTTAACAATCCGAAAGTCAAAGTCATCACGTATATTGTACAATTTAACACCAAGATTATGGCAATTGTCAAAATCGAGACGCAAATCCAAGAAGGAAGCGTAATTGTCACCGTCAGTGGTGTATTTAATTTCGAGCTCATCAGGATATGAATTCTACATAATCACTAAATTTTGGATTATTCAGTGATAGAACATCATCGACATATCGATAAGTGAAATTAAAATGTCTGACTAATCGTTTATTTGATTTTACAAGTGCATGTATGTAATCGGCTTCGTAGGAATAGAGAAACAAATCAGCAAGCAAAGGTGCACAGTTGGTGCCCATGGGGATACCTACCACTTGCTGATAAATTTCCCCTCCAAATTCAACAAAGATATTATCAATTAAAAAATCCAACATCTGAATTATCTTGTTGGCGGTGAATTTACTTTTGGAATCACTATGGTTCTTGACAAATTATGTGGAATTGTAATTAACAACTAAATATTGATATCTAACATTTCCTGGTTTAGATGAAAAGACACTATGAATAATGTCTTTTAACCGAGCTTTTAATTTACTATGGGGAATTTTAGTGTACAAAGTAGGAAAGTCAAACGTTTGTATAGATGAGATTGAAGCAAGTGATCTAGATTGTAAACCATCAAGTAATTCTTTGGAATTTTTTAATATCCACATTTGATTAAAACCACTACGAGAGTATATTTTGTCACAGTATTTTTGAATACCCTCTTTCACTGTCGTTAGTATGGTATGGATGTCAATACCTTTGAAAGTGGTTTTGTGGAACTACGGGATGAACCTGCTATAAAACGTTCCTTGTAGGGATTTTTATGTAGTTTAGGTATCCAATATAACAAGGGCAGATCTGTATAGGTATCTCCACATGGAGTACCAAATGAAGTGAATACAGATCTGTGATTGGATACAATTTCATACTTACTAAGCGTAGAGCGTTTATACGTAGCACTGCCGATTGATTTCCCGAAAATAAGTTCTTTGAACAGGCAGTCATAATAATATCGTTTACATATAAACACTAAGTTATTGGACGCTTTGTCAGCCGGTACAATGACATACTTGTCATGTAAGGCGTTGAGATTTTCAACAATGCTAACATCATTGAAAATAGATTTAGGCCTAGTATCAACTAACAAACGTTGCATATAAATTCTTCGTTTAAGTAAAGGACTGATAGACTTAGTCCAATCTGAGAGAGTATCAGAGATAACATCTTCCCTCTTGGCCCATGATCTGGCGTAGTCCTGTACGGCATCCATAATAAGTTTGAAATTTTGATCCCATGAAAATGGTTGCGTGAATAATGTCTTTTAACCGAGCTTTTAATTTTATAGATATAAGAATAAAAAGAAATTGATAAAAGAAATGCAGTTTAAATAATCCATGCAACTTACTTGAGATGTGAATATCAAACTAACCAAACACATCAGGAAACACGTGACTGCTGTAATCATTAAGCGTAGTTTTGGAGTTGATTTTGGGATCAAGTCTGTTATTGCCGTTACGCATACTTCCACATTAACAAACTATTAATAAATGAAATTGTTAATAATCTTGCTGCTAATATAGCTTACATGTTGAAATAAATATTAAATGGTTTGTTTTCTGAAAGGTCCGTCTTTATTATCCCAGTCGGAGCAGAAGAGTAGGACGTTAAACCTCATTTCATTTTTTGAAAGGGAATATAAGCATTATTCAACTACTTATTTTATATCTAAATGATAGATCGCATTTTCGATTTAAGATCATAGTAATGACACGGCCCATTATAACACTACAAGATGCATAGTGTGTAGAACTGGTGTCAGAGCTTTTAATAACGGGCTTCTGCGTTAGAATATCCATCAAGCAAGTAGAAAAGCTTAATTGTGGTTACTACTCATGGAAACTCGTGAGAAATATACGTGTTGTCAGTAGTCGCTTAAACCCGTCAGTATTTGCACCGTACGTCAGTATTCCTATAAATGGTCAGTAATAATCATAGGTGAGTATTTATGTCAATTGATTAGTATTCTTTACTTGTGTCGGTATACAAAAATAACGTGACTAATTAAACAAACGTGAGTTTATCCGAATATATATATTATAGTCAGTATTTAGGCTACCGTTCACTACCTGAGTGAAACCCCCAGTTATCTTTGATGTGCTCCAGTAAGTGGAATTGTCGCCAGTAGAGCGTGAAATCGTTAACTATATAAATTTCTGGTGAGTATTGGTACTATAAGTGATTATAAGTATCCTGAATAAATTAATTATTATTTATTAATATTCTCGAATTGGAGCAAATTTTTTAAACAATAATGGATGGCAGTGAACAAACGGACTATTGTCGACGATTTCGATTACCGCCGTAGTTTGTAAAAGACACTGAAGATGGTTAGATAGATCGATCTATTATAAATACCTTCATATTTAAATATGAATTTAAATGCTCAGTGGCAAGGTTTGATTCGTCGCACTATTTGTACCCGTTCCCTTTCTTACAACGGGTTTCCCATGCAGAATACGGCGCAATGTGTATTGTTATTTAATTTCTTATTCTCGTTACGTGCGGATTGGCACATATTTTGGGGCGGGCGGCACTTTGATATCTGTATGGATTATTAAATTTGGAATGACAACTAATGGTTAAAAAAAGATCAACACCAATCTGCTTTCGCTAATTTTATTGAAACAGATAATATGATAGCAGATAATATTGAATTTCATACACATACATATATACAAGCTGAAATTCTGAGCACTGAAGAATCGTGTGAATATCTATTTACATTTGAGAAATAGTAACTATTAAACAATATATATATAACGATGCAAATAGTAACAACATATAATAAGGCACGGTATACAATGTTAAAACACAATATGATCGTACGTTACAGATAAAAATGAATTTCATACATACAAGTAAACCAAAATTATGAGCACGGAAGAGTCTATTAATATTTTAGAAATTCTTTTATGTAGCACACGATAAATATAACCGATACATTGCATGCGACGGTGAAATAGTAAAACCATGTACAACGTTCGATCTTGGGATATCTCTCTTTTGTGAAATTCGAAAGTCATGTAGATATCCCGTACGATTAATTTTTTTTATTAAACTAAGGCTGTAGAACTACATATAAAAGCACATTGAAAATTATAAAAAAAACACACATTTATAACTACACTATATTATATATTCAAAACTGAGACAATTCAAAGCACGAGAAGTTAACAGAAATGACGAACACTGTAGGGAATCTTTTGTTAAAATATTTTCAACAAATAGAGCATTTTTATGTCTTAAAATTTGCCAGTTACATATCCGAAATTTTCGTTTGAGTTCTTCTACAAAAGTCACACCGATAACAAATGTTCTTTTAATGTTACAGTTTATCAATAAACTTGCCAGAAATTTATATAGTTAATGATTTTACGCTCTACTGACCCAATCAACATTCTTAATCTCTTGAGCACTATAACACAAAGGTGCTAATTAAGTGGTGGTGAAATTAACAGAATTTATTCCCATAAAAGATTTAATATACAAGACCTACATTACTAATGTATGGACTATTCTCTTTGGTTCTAAATTATTACACCGAGAGAAATATTAAGCAAAAATTAACAAATATATCACTATAAACCCCAGAATGCCTTGTTCGGCACTTTTGTCCAAGCGTGGCAAAAACGTGTTAAAATTTTTGCCACGTTGTAACGTGGTAAAAACAAAATGCCACGTTTGTCTGGAGTTCCGAAACGTATTTTTTTTATATTGCCCTGTTTTTGCAACGAGGTATTTTGTCCAGAACGAGGCTGTTCACAAGGATTGGGGGTGGGGTTCAGCCAAACCAGTCTCGTCGAGCGTATCGAGGACAGCATAATATTATTTGGTGACACTTTCAAGCGATTGTGTAGAGACAAAAACACAAGGCAAAGTCGACTAGAAATGATATTCGTCGCATAAAAAGAGTTTGTTACATTCTTTGTTGCAGTTTCATATGTTCACACAATATTTCCAACAAAGAGATGGGAGAAATGAAAAACAGACAAGTTCAAAGCGGAGCGAAATCAATAATTGTATTTTAGGTCTTTGAAAATTATTAATTACAAATATGCTGTTCCTGTTTTTATATAATAATATATCTTATGAAATTTTATGTTATTGTCACTCAGTTAGTTGTATGTATAAAAATTGCAAAAGTAGTATCTAAACGGCCAATTAAATCCCATCGAAACATGAAATAGACACAATTTATGTTTATATAAGTGAACAACTTTATTAAGAATGCTAGTTACATTTTCATCCTTCGGGTGACCGGCCTACGTCTGGATTCTTATTTAAAGGGTCGATCTGGACTATATTTTGGAGAATAAAACTGCTTAATTTTGTTTTAAAAGCCCTTCAAATAAAATCTTCGACATTTGGGCCGAGCAACCAATAAAACAGGAACGGCATATTTGTGATTAATAATGTTCAAAGACCTAAATACAATTATTGAGTTCGCTCAACTTTGAACGTGGCTGTTTTTAATTTCTTACATCTCATTGTTGAAAATATTGAGTGGATATATGAAACTGTAACATCATGTATCCAACCTTGTGAACAGCCTCGTTCTGGACAAAATACCTCGTCCCAAGAACATGGCAATTTAAAAAAAAAACTTTTGTAACTCCAGACAAACGTGGCATTTTGTTTTTACCACGTTACAATGTGGCAAAATTTTAACATGTTTTGCCACGTTTGGACAAAAATGCAGAACGAGGCATTCTGAGGTTTATAGTGTATGGCGTGGTTGCTGTGTGATTTAGTGTTAGAAAATAACGATATCTTTAACTTGCTTTTTCATCTGTTCTGACTTGTGCGATCAATTTTACAGTTTACTTAATATCAGTTATCTTTTTGAATAAAGCAACCGAACTGCAATATCCTTGACACGGACTATTCGTGAAACGGTAAGATGCGAAGTCTGACATATTGGTAATATTGTAAATATATATTAGTCTATAATATATTGATTTGACCGTAAGAACATCTTAGGGGAAATCCTATCACGAGGAGTCAATGCACACCGCGTCTGTAACGGTGTGAGGTGACTCTTACAACTGCGCCAAACGGTAATCACACACCAGGGACCATCTGAAACTGCCACACACTCCTTTCGTAATCAACATCCACATGATAGTGTTATACTGAAGAACAATCTATACATTAGTAGTCTGTTGTGCACATGTATATTATAAGTTAATCTCATCAATTAATTAGCACCTTAGTGCCAGCTAGTGGTCAGGAGATTAAGATTGTTGATTGGATAATCATCAAAAAAAAGCCGCCACAGCTGTACGCGTGTTCATTTAACACGTGAATTAAAATAAGATTTTGCGTGTACGGTAGGTATATTATTATTTTCAGGTACCGTGACGTTATCAAAATATGAGTCCCTATAGAAATATCAATTTCATAGTCAAGAAATGCTTACGTTCACTTTCGTGCATTTTGGCTTTGATGTAAATATCAACATAATTCAGATGATACTCAATGGCAGACTCGAGAATCGTCGCATTTCGGTTCGTTGGTCGTTCGCATCTTTTCGACCCATGGTGATAAGAGAATTTTAAACAATAATATCCAAGATGCATTCCATAGTTTGCATTCCGTATGAAGAAGCGACAGTAAACGGAATTCAGCCACCAATAAAATTCTCTTCGAAAAGAAAATTGTTGGCCATTTTGTTTATTTCCATTTAAGGCCTATAAATTATTTTTTTAAAGATGATATGAGATATCAAATGATCACCACTATTCGGAGTAAATAATGAGTTGTCGACGGCTTTATCATTGACCCGTGACAGTTGATTAGTATTACTCAATGACACACTCAATAGACTATTCCGTGCTCATAATTTCGGTTTACTTGTATGTATAAAATTCTTTTTGTCCCCCGCCTTTCGAAGAAAGCAGGGGACTATTAAAATGGGTTCGTCCGTCTGTCCGTCCCACTTTTTGGGACACAATAACTCTCCTTCTAATTGACCTAGAATGTTCAAACTTGGTGTAGGTGTTTATTAGGTCAATGCCTTGATGGAGTTTGAAGATGAGCATTTTCGGCATAGGGTAAGCAGAGATAAGCAATTTGATTGGTTGATGCTTTGGGACACGATAACTTTAGTTCTAATTAAGTGAGAGAGATGAAACTTGGTGTATAGTTTTATTACATCAATACCTTGACTAAGTTCGATAATGAGCATTTTCTGCTCAGGGTAAGCAGAGCGATAAGCAATTTGATTGGATGAGACTTTGGAACACAATAACCCTCCTAATTGAGCTAGAATGTTCAAACTTGGTGTAGGTGTTTATTAGGTCAATGCCTTGATGGAGTGTGAAGATAAGCATTTTCTGCTTAGGGTAAGCAAAGATAAGCAATTTGATTGGTTGATGCTTCGGGACACGATAACTTTAGTTCCAATTAAGTGAGAGTGATGAAACTTGGTGTATAGTTTCATTACATCAGTACCTTGACTAAGTTCGAGGATGAGCATTTTCTGCTCAGGGTAAGCAGAGCGATAAGCAATTTGATTGGTCGAGACTTTGGAACACAATAACCCTCCTTCTAATTGAGCTAGAATGTTCAAACTTGGTGTAGGTTTTTATTAGGTCAATGCCGTGATGGAGTGTGAAGATAAGCATTTTCTGCTTAAGGTAAGCAGAGATAGGCAATTTGATTGGTTGATGCTTTGGGTCACGATAACTTTAGTTCCAATTAAGTGAGTGTGATGAAACTTGGTATATAGTTTCATTACATCAATATCTTGACTAAGTTCAATAATGAACATTTTCTGCTCAGGATAAGCAGAGCGATAAGCAATTTGATTGGCCGAGACTTTGGAACACAATAACTCTCCTTGTAATTAAGCTTGAATGTTCAAACTTGGTGTAGGGGTTTATGAGGTCAATGCCTTGATGGAGTCCGAAGATTAGCATTTTTTGCTTAGGGTAAGCAGAGATAAGCAATTTGATTGGTTGATGCTTTGGAACACGATAACTTTAGTTCTAATTAAGTGAGAGTGATGAAACTTGGTGTATAGTTTCATTACATCAGTACCTTGACTAAGTTCGAGGATGAGCATTTTCTGCTCAGGGTAAGCAGAGCGATAAGCAATTTGATTGGTCGAGACTTTGGAACACAATAACCCTCCTTCTAATTGAGCTAGAATGTTCAAACTTGGTGTAGGTGTTTATTAGGCCAATGCCGTGATGGAGTGTGAAGATAAGCATTTTCTGCTTAAGGTAAGCAGAGATAGGCAATTTGATTGGTTGATGCTTTGGGTCACGATAACTTTAGTTCCAATTAAGTGAGTGTGATGAAACTTGGTATATAGTTTCATTACATCAATATCTTGACTAAGTTCAATAATGAACATTTTCTGCTCAGGATAAGCAGAGCGATAAGCAATTTGATTGGCCGAGACTTTGGAACACAATAACTCTCCTTGTAATTAAGCTTGAATGTTCAAACTTGGTGTAGGGGTTTATGAGGTCAATGCCTTGATGGAGTCCGAAGATTAGCATTTTTTGCTTAGGGTAAGCAGAGATAAGCAATTTGATTGGTTGATGCTTTGGAACACGATAACTTTAGTTCTAATTAAGTGAGAGTGATGAACCTTGGTGTATAGTTTCATTACATCAATACCTTGACTAAGTTCGATGATGAGAATTTTCTGCTTAGGCTAACGAGCAATAAGCATTTTGATTGGTCAAGACTTTCGAACATAGCAACTCTTCTTCTAATTGAGGTAGAATGTTTAAACTTGATGTAGATGTTCGTCTTGACTGAGTTCAATGATTAACATATCGAGCTAAAGCTAAGCAGAGATAAGCAATTTAATGCTTTGGGACAAGATAACTTTGATTCTATCTGATAGAGAGTGATGAAACTTAGTGTATAGTTGATAATCAGTTTGATTGCTTGATACTTTGGAAAAAAATAGATGTGCAATTAATTAATATGTGTCATCTATTTATTTGGGGATTTCGGCGGAGGACATCAGCCTCACTGTTGGCTTGTTTTTTCTGTAACGTACGATCATATTGTATTTTAACATTGTATATGGTGCCTTATATGTTATTACTATTTTCATGGTTATATATATTGTTTAATAGTTATTATTTCTCAAATGTAAATAGATATTCACACGATTCTTCGGTGCTCAGAATTTATCCTTGTATGCATGTATGTATATATGTATGTGTATGAAATTCATTATTTCTGTTATCTGCTATCATATTATCTGTTTCAATTGAATTATTTATAATATTTATAATTGAAACGATCTATCTAACCATCTTCAGTGTAATCGAAATCGCCGACAAATAGTCCTATTGGTCACTGCCATCCATTAATTTTTACAAAATTTCCTCCGATTCGAAAATATTAATATATAATAATTCATTTATTAAGGATACTTATAATCATTTATAGTAACAATACTAACCATTTATTTATATTTTTAACTATTTCACGCTCTACTGGCGACGGTTCCACTTACTGACGCACATCAAAGATAACTGTCGGTTTCACTCAGCTACTGAACGGTAGCCTAAATACTGACGGTTTCTTAATTAGTCAAGCTTTTTCCAATTTCTCCCGCACGCGTCTGACAAACTCACGTTTGTTTAATTAATCCTGTTATTTTTGTATACTGACACAAGTAAGGAATACTTACCAAATGGGGGAGGGGGTGATGGCTGAATGGTTAGCGTGCGCGCGCTGTATCATAAAGTCTGTCATTGAGTCGACTGGCGTGGTTTCGAATCCCCGGTTGTACGTGGCAAGGAGTAGGGTCGCCTGTCCAACCTCGTGGGTTTTCTCCGTGTCTTCCGGTTTCCTCCCACTGCTAAAGACCCCTACGCGCAAGCGAAATATTGAAATAAAATTAAACCATATGTTAGTCCCGAAATGACCTAGTTTGTGTCGAGTGGACGTTAAACCCCATTTCTCTCTCTCTCTCTCTCACTTACCAAATGACTTAAATAGTCGCCTTATGATTATTACTGACCATTTATAGGAATACTGACGTATGGTGCAAGTACTGACGGTTTTAAGCGACTACTGACAACACGTATATTTCTCACGAGTTTCCATGAATAGTAACCACAATTAATCATTTCTACACTTTTGAAGCATATTCTAACGCAGAGGCCAGTTAGTCAATAATCAGAGCTCAGTTCTACACACTATGCATGTTACCGTGTAATTAACATAACATAGTAATTGAAGAAATGACACGGCCGATTATAATTAACATAACATAGTAATTGAAGTAAATTGGTTCACTTTCACAGAGTTTCCATATATCAATTAAGTTAGATTATTTGGAGACATTGAACATGTTGTGTGACTTGCTAAATTAACACAGCCGCGTCATAGCGTTTGAAGCTACCTGATGACGCCTACCCGCGGACGGTCAATTTAAAAGGATGCAAAGCTGTTTAGGTATCCCGTCTTCTTTTGTTAATTTCATCATCCCATTAAACCCTGTATAACTTTATTTCTCTATAATCGGTTTATTAGAGAATAAGATGGATATAAATAAATGTACAGCATAATTACCTAATTGATCTATTGGCATTTAATTAATCTCTTTACTTCTGTATGGTTCTATTGTCAAATTATACCAGGAAGATTATGTAAATTATCCAAAGGTTAAGTTTTATTATAGCCAGATTGGTCTATAATTGGTCTATTATAGCCAGATAATTGGTCTATGAACCTTTATTTCATCTCATTGTTCCTATATTGGCCATTGTCAAACTATACCAGGAAGACTATGTAGATTTATGTCATGTTATGTATTATATACTTTTAAACCTTTTGTTGTACGTTATCTAATATTATTTATAATCCATTGTCATGGAAATCTGTTATTCTAAGAATGTATATATGTATCGTATTTGTAGTATTTTGTATACATTATTAATATCTGAAGACGCCCATAGAAGGCAGACAGCTAGCTAGCTTATATGATTTAATGTATGTCAGAATGAAGTAAAGTGGAGAATTTTTTATCTGGACGGATTCTTTTATTTATTTATATGGGCTTTCTAACTATAAATATTGGCATATCTGTCATTCTAAAAATAGAAATATGTCTTGGAAAAATATGCACAACATGTTATAAGAAAGCACATCGCTTACCATTGTATCCAGTGCAGCAAAAACAAGCATCAAGAAAAATAATACCGCCCACAATTGAGGTATTGGTAGCTTACTAAGTGCCTCTGGATAAGCAATGAAAGCTAGCCCAGGTCCTAATAAAAACAAAAAAAACAGTCGTCAACATCCCGCACACTTTGATAGGTTTAAAAGATACTAGTATATCAATATCTGTGTTAATGGTAATCAACAGCCAAACTCTCCATGTGAAGCAAATAGTATTATGCTGTCTAGACATAAATGTTAAATTATCACCGCGAAATTATTAATAATTTTTTTTCTAATTTTTTTTTTTTTTTTTTTTAGAATTATTATCAAAAGACTGAAAAGCTTGAATAATTTATGAGATATATCCCGGAATAAAATTGTATAGCAAGTTACGAAAGGGATTGATGTGTACAAAGTGTCATTAAGAAATCTTAAACAGTTTTTGAGATGTGCCCAAGAATAAAAATTGAATTCCAAAATTTAAGTCAAATTTATTTCCGAGCCTGACAAGGAAAGTGTTCTAATCCTTTGGGTAGCTTTGACATTAAACTACATTCCACTTAAGTTTTAAAATGTTTCTATAGTTTGTACTAATGTTTCTATATTTGGTACTTTACAGATATTAACAGTTCTCTTGACTTTGAAAATGATGTATTCTGTAGTGCCATCTAATGAACAACTAAACCTAGAGTTGTGTCTGGTAGACATCATCATCGCCGAATCTTTTGACAATGAGATAGGTCTGAGGGCAGAAATATATACGGATACATTTTATCAGTCGGTGACAATTTGTCGACATTTTTTAAAACTTAACTCAATGTCGGACAATTTGTTCACATGTTAAAAGCTCCAAATATTGGTAGTTGTTATATTATTTACCTGTTCGGATAATCTCGGCTATGTCTAGACCAGTTTGGTGGGACATGAAGCCAAGGATAGAAAATACCACAAAACCAGCATAAAAACTTGTACTTTCTCCAACAATACAAAAAATGATGGTATCCCTGAAATGTTGCAAGCCGTTGTGGCAAATGTTAATTAATTGTCTAGTAACATAGTAAAATACGTATTGCCGGACTATGTTATGTTAAATTTGCATATAGACTCTAGTGATTACACCTAATCACGTTGTTTAAGATACAGTATAACAAATTGTGACATTCCATCACATTGTAACTAAAACTCAACGAGAGACTAGTTCTGGTGTACTTCTAACAGAACATGCGACAGAACTTCTGTATTCAAGGAGCTGTAGGATTGCCGGTGTAGTTGCAGAACACACAACGGTGTGTGATTTTTGCTGAGCGATCAGATCAATGTGGTAATGGCTGCGCAGTTTTGAATAACACATACTTATGACGTGCTAGACGGTACCGAACACAATAATGTTTCTCTACTTTTGTTTATTGAACGAACAATATTAGATTATGGAAATACCGAAGACTCTGGACTGATCATCTTTCCACACGGTTTTTATCAGTCAAGTTGTTTAAATACAAAAAAAGAGAGTGATCCTTACCTCATAACATTGTTGTCAAATTTATTATAACTAGACATTGTGATAAATGCTCCCCACCCCATCCCCGCTGAATAAAATATTTGCATCAACGCCTGTACCCACATCTATAAAAAGAAGAAATATAAAGATACTTTTCAATGCGGGTATGCCGAATTGGTCTACACCTTGTCGATTCCTACAATTTCTAAAACTTTACATTTATAGATTCATTTGTGTACTATTATGTATTTCTTTCATTGCTTTTGTTTCAAATGAAAGAATCTATTAAAACAATATAAGATTATTAAACGTTTCATAAACAATTTGCTTTTCAAATTGTATATCAAATTATATAGCAAGTTGAAAAAAGGGTATTATTTAGAATTCCTATAGACTATAGCTTCTGACTTTTAGTATCAACAGAACACAATGAAGTCCGACTTGAAGCAAACAATTTTGAGAGCTATGGTACGGGGTCGATAGTGTTGCCCATATAATATGATTGTGCTACACTTGCCAATTTACTGTCGTGACAAAGAACATTGTTACATTGATTAGAATGCATTAAAAAAGAATGAACCGTTTAAATATCATGAATATGTTTTATTTTGTATAAATACACAACTGCATAAAACTAGTGCTTATTGCATATTACGGTATCGGTATTTGGCGGAAATATTGTACGTAATATACAATCAGAAATCCTGTAGAAATCCATTAACTATTTAATTCTTGAAATAAAACAATAACAGATATGCATTAAAACAACCCTTATCATGTGGAAGAATTACTTAATTTAGGAAAACCCCGAACTGTTTGGAATGGTATTTGTTCTGAGAATATTCAGTATAGTCAAATGATAAATTATTTCCCATAAGACGACTGATGGTTGTTTTATTTATTACTTATAAAATGTGAAATTAAGTAGACCTGTTAATTATATCAGTTTTAATTAATTACATTACCTGAGGATTAGCTAATTTACTAAAATCCGGAATTATGTAGAATTTCACACCATCTATGGCACCAGGCAAGGTAGCGGCTCTAATTAAAATGATTGTAATAATGATGTACGGTGCTATAGCTGTCAGATATACCACCTAAACAAAAATAGTAAAATATAAACCAGCAGGTAAATAATAATTTATAGAGTTGATGTGAAGTAACCCAAGGCTAGGCAGCATCTTCACCTTAATATTCATCCACAGAAACATTCTATCATCAATCGTGGACTGGTGATTTAAAGATAATAAATATAGAGGCGTGAAATCAGTAAAGAACTATCAGGAATTATAGATACACATATTTTAGGTTAGAATTGGAAATATTAATATTTGTTGGATCAATTTGTGTCTGAAAATTTGTATTTGCTTTTAAGTCTAAAATGTTGTGTCCTGTAGACAATTACTGTTTATTTATCTACCGTAAATATCGATGGGCTCGTATTTATTTCATTTCACGGGTAATAGCGATATCTCTTTAGATAATATTAGATAATATAACGATTGAAAACAAAGGCCACCAACATCTGATGTTGGCCGATTGTAATTGTCTACTGCATGGTACATCCCATGTCTGTGATGACATAGGTTTCACTGGGTATGGAATTCTCTACAATAACCTATGTCTTTAAATTTAATCTATAAGACAGCCAGAAACACAAGTCAATGATAAAGTGGTATTTAAAACACACACCTTTCCAGCGGATTTGACACCTTTTATTATACAGAGAAATATAATTATCCAACTAATTATAAGTGGAACAACCAGTTGCCATTGCATACTGCCTAAATCATCTAATCCAGTTGACATCCTTAATACATTGTAGCTGAAAAATATGAGATGACATTGAAACATAGCTTCAGTTTTGTTATGCTAGGAGACCCCTATTTGTTACCTATCTGGTGCCAGTCATTATCACATATTTGATAGTACTGATAGAAATGGTTAAACACGTTACAAATATAATTTTAATACAGAGATCATTGCTGCCATAGATGCATTATGAAATTTTCAAGAAAGGGAAGTGACGAACGCAAAAGGAAAACACGAGTTATCTTTCTATATAACTGACTGAAGTGACGAGTGATAACAGATACACGCGCGAATTTCTGCTCACTAATAATTCCGTCGAAGACTAAAAGTTGTTATGTAAGGCTGTGAGAGGATATCTGATAATTCAAAAAAGTAAATGAATGTCACTAGATAAGTGAAAACGAGAAAAATAGAAATAGTCCGTACATTCCCTTGTGTTTATTCATTGTATACTTAATAACCAGCGGCTGCCAGGCAGGATACGCCCACATTTTCGAGAGATGGATAGAGAACAAGCTAACAAGAAAGTGATTTTTCCTACAACCAAGGGCCATAATTCAGGAAGTTACGGTCCGATATGCGCGAATATCGAAAGGAACCGAGATCTTTGGGTTATAAACTTACATTTCAAGTTCCACCAAAATCGGATAAAAATTGTGACCTCTATAGGGTCCACAACCTTGATATACCATATTTTTACGCTATTTGAGAACGAACGGCAGCCATTTTGTCTGTCAATTTTAGGCCGATTTTCACGAAATTCGAACTCAGTCGTCCTTAGGGTGTAACGGTGATATAATAATACGGTGTTTTAAATCGGATAAAAATTATGACCTCTATAGGGTCCACAAGCTAAAAACGCGATTTTTCGTACAATCAGGGGCCATAATTCAGGAAGTTACGGTCCGATATGCGCGAATATTGAAAGGAACCGAGATCTTTGGGTTATAAACTTACAGTTCAAGTTTTCAACAAAATCGGATAAAAATTGTGACCTCTATAGGGTCCACAACCTTGATATACCTTATACTTACGCTATTTGAGAACGAACGGCGGCCATTTTGTCTGTCAATTTTGGGCCGATTTTCATGACATTCGAACTCAGTCGTCCTTAGGGTGTAACGGTGATATAATAATACGGTTTTTTAAATCGGATAAATATTATGACCTCTATAGGGTCCACAAGCTAAAAACGTGATTTTTCGTACAAACAGGGGCCATAATCCATTAAGTTTCGATCCGATACATGCCAATATCGAAAGCAGCCGAGATCTTTTGGAGATAAACCTATATTTCAAGTTTCGTCAAAATCGGATAAGAATTGTGACCTGTAGAGTGTCCACAAACAAATTGTGGACGGACGGACAGGGGCGACGGCATAATACGTCCACATGAAAATGTGGGCGTATAAAAACATGATAATGCACGGACTTTTTCTATTTTTCTCGTTTTTTCTTATAGTGTGACAGTCAATTATTTTTTTGAATTGTCAGATATCCTCCCACAATCTCATATAACCCAGCACATTTTCAGAAAGCGGAGTCCTAAATCCAAACTTATCATTTGTCTAGGAAAGACTTGGATGGAGTTCAATATCAATTCGGATATCGGATAATCAGTACACCGAAAGTTTATTTCCTAACTGGTCACTGATTATTGTTCCTACTGGTCATTAAAGGGACAATCTGCGTTTTTAATCTTTCAAAAAATGCCCGGTAATATGAATGATGCGATGAACACTTTTTCAAGCAAAATCCGACTGCAATTTTATAAACCGGATGATTGCAGAACACACTTTGTAGTGTACCACACCTTCGTTTCTTACTTCCAAAATTCTTCAGGTGCAGTAAGACCAATGGTTGGAATATTCACATGCGTCGAAGAAACATTTGTATTCATCAATGATGAATAGTTTGTTGCGTATTGGACGAGATTACGTAAACTGCTTGTAAGATTATTGGTGTGGTTCCCACCAGTGCTGGTAAAATTGTCGGTTCTGTATTGATGAACAAAGCACGTGTCTGTATTCCACCAATTGTCACAGGTCGTCCATGGTAACGGTGACATTAAGGAATGGACCAGATAGTATAAAATCCAGGCTAGGGTCATGGTATAATATAAACAAATCATGCCTGTGACGATGACCATTGCTACTCCTAAACCTGAAATGAGAAAATCAAAAGTATTAAACTTGATTTCATTTTAATAATTTCTTTTCTACCCCCCCCCCCCCCACCACCTTTAAAGTAGTATAATAAATTTTAACGTGTAATCGCAATATCAACAACATTTCTAACGCTCAAAACAAAGACGTACAGTGCGCACGCTGAACAAAATCAAGAAAACTGTATTACATTGATAGTTAGAACACTATATTTATATACTGAGCGCCATGGAAAACGCATCACTTAGTTTTTCGTATAACAAAATGATCCTGTAAACATATCTTATTTATTTTGCTTCTTATTGTGAACAATATTCAAATGGGAACACATCAATAACAACACATTTGTACACTTATGGTTGTTTAATCTGTAATCAACGGTACAAAGTCAGAGGGGTCAAAACCAAAAGAACGACACAGATGTCAGTAGCGCGTGTGTCCTCCACGGGCTCTTACGCACGCTGTGCAGCGACGTCGCATGGAATTTACCAATGTTTGAAAGAAGGCCTGGGGCAAATTGTTCCATTCTTGGACAAGAGCAGCTTCTAAAGCATCTGTGGTCGCCGATACAGACGGCGTCCAATCTCATCCCAGATATGTTCTATCGGTGCCATGTCCGGAGACATGGCTGGCCAGTCCAAGACATTGATGTTGTTAGCAGCCAGGCAGTCCATACTAAAACGGGCGGTATGCGGACGTGCATTATCCTGTTGGAAGTGCTGAAGTTGTGGGTGCGCGCGAAACATCGGAACAACAATTGGTTGCAAGAAATCATCACGGTAGGCTACAGCATTAACGCGACCCCTGCAAATGTGTAAGGCGGTCCAGTGATGAAATGTGAAGCCTTCTCACACCATTACACTTCCCCCACCCCATCGATTCGTTTCGAAGACGCAGCAGTCTGCAAGACGTTCCCCAAGACGTCTCCACACACGTTGACGGCCATCAGCGTGATAAAGATGAAAGCGACTCTCATCACTGAAGAGCACACTTTGCCAGTGTACTCGTCTCCATGTCTGGTGTCCTTGAGCTCATATCAAACGCCGCTGACGGTGATGATCCCTGAGGATAGCTCCAACATAAGGTCGTCGTGCACGATGAGTGACCCGGATGTAGCGGTCTTGAGCCTGGGTTGTAACACGTTGTGGACCAGGGCGTTGACGATCACGTGTTTATCCAGTAACTCGAACACGTTCCACCAACCTTACAATAGTGGACTGATGACAATTGAAGTGTCTGGCAATAGCACGTGTAGACATGCCAGCCCTGGACATTCCCATGGCTTCATTCCGTTGATTTTCAGTAAGTCTCGGCATCTCTAGCTCGATTCCTTCACACGTCCAACAACAAATTACGACAGATTGACGTTTCACAGTTCATGTACTGCACATTAAGTTGAAAACATGCTTTTAAAGGGCTCACACACGTGAATATTGGGTTTTTCATGTGCATCTCGTGCAATTTTTTTTTTGCACACGGGCCGATATTTTTTGCGTTTGGGAGCATTGTGTGAAAACAATATTTCATAGTATTGCATAATATTATAGATACAAAACCACCTAGTAATAAAATATTTGTGAAAAAAAAGTGATGCATTTTCCATGGCGCTCAGTATATATACAACCCTACCCAATTCCCTCTGATGTTGTATTTCATTATGTCCATCTAATATAAGCTGCTTTCATTCACGCGGCCCAAATATTGGTTTGGACATGTTCAGTTTCATTGGAGATGCTGTTGGTTAGAGATTAGTGGCGCTAAATCATCCCCCTGACCGTTCCCCGGTGTTTGACGGGTATTGTTTTCAAAAACTGTGTAAAAGTTAAAGAAAATGCGCCTATTATTCTCTGACGTCAGTGGGCCCTTTCACTGTAGCTCGGAAATGGTTTACTTCATAGCATATAAGTGAATGAAATGTGCGACAGCATAGTATGCCCACAGGTAAATGTGGGTGTACAAAAGAAATCCTCTCAATCGGTCCAGTGGTTAAATTTCTGTGAAAGAAAAGCCGAGAATGGCAGCCATTTTTTAAAATGGTGGCCATTTTAACAATTCTAGTGGCTAAAGTGCTATTCTTAATATAAATGACACTAAGCGGACTCCCATGCAATTTTATTGCTTGTTATGTAACACTTTGTTGCCCCACTATAATAACGAATTATATTTTTGACGTACAAATTGGTGTTTTCACACAGATTAAAGGGTACAAGTATGGGTGTTGTGACATCGATCTAGTAACCTGTACAAACAGAATTATATAAACATATTTTATATTTGACACATTATTTTACACTAAATACAACAGACAACCAATGTAATTAAATATTGTAAATACTAGGCTAGTACATTCTCTGAAACATTACGGGCCGCTTTAGTTTGTAATGGATTTGGCTGGTAATATGTACAGTAGGGGATTGCAACGATCTAGTTTTGAAATAATAAAGGCATTAACTAATATACAATTTTAATATATAAAAGAACTTGGCCAGTGATATACTGGTACATGATTTACAGATCATGATATATGTTCATGCATAATCGTCATGTTCAGATCTTATTTAACACAGATGTCTACACAAATATGAACAGAATTTTCAATACCTGCAATAGTTAATAATAGAAAAGAAAATCAGACGAATTTATAGTCTCTTACTGGTAAAAACAAGTCAGTTAAAATTTTAGACATTTTGTTTTATAATATCGCGATTTACCTCGCTAAGTAAAGTGTAAACGATTTCATCTCAAACTATTCATTTATTTTTTTGGCAGACTGAACACGAGATCTAATTTCACATTGAAAGGATTTGTTGATAATTATACCCCGTCAACCGAATCAGTTGACAATAGCTATATTGCCGATTTATCAACATTATTCACACATAAATGATCTTCCTTACAAATTAAACATAATCTGTCAAACAATATATCTGTAGTTTATATCAACTTCATTCTGATTAAACAGTAGGACGTTAAACCCCATTTCATTTTATTTCATTCTGATTACTTCGCATTCCGCTAATCGTACTGGCGGTTATACACGTTTACCCGTAATTTCGAGTGTTCTCGGATTTCATGCAGGCGAATTGAATACCCTCGAAAGTAGGATTACTTATTTCCCAATCAAAGAGCGAAAATAAATTAAATTGTTTAAATTACCGCTTACTTAAGAATATATTATGTAAGATTTAGATAAAGAGCTCGCCGTCCTTGCTATAATAGTTGAAAAAATAGATAATGCAAAATTAATATATATGGAAAATTTCGTTCAAATAACTTTATTCTGAGCGAAAATATTAGGCCTTTGAAGGTTTATCATTTAACGAAATTTCGATAATTCGCTATTCTTGTCGAAACTTTAAACATTTATTTTTGACTGTCTATTTTTAAACTATTAATAGCAAGAACCGTCACCTCTTTATCTAAATCTTACATAATGCATCTTTAATTTGAACAGAGAGTTTATTTTATGTTTTTATCTTCTATTCTCACATTTCTGAATAACCTCTGCACGCCAGGCGGCGTCTAGTAGCTCGGATGTGACGTGCGCGTGTATACGCTGGCGTGTACGTACAAGTTTGAAATCGACAAACAACCCGTTTAGCACACCATATAGCGTATTCTCGTCTTCGTTAGCACGGTTTGTCCCGAAAAGTAAGGATGTTAAACTCAATTTCATTTCATTCTTTGTTACCTTCGAGGGTTGACTACTGCAATAGGTTGTAAGTAGAAAAATCTACATGTAGTGTTAATATTAGAAAACTTTAATTTGTGCAAAATTAATATTAACGCATCGCATCAATCTCTATTCACTTATACTAACCCACCTGATATAACTATATTGGCTGCCAATGAACGAAAGCATCCTTTTCAAAATTATGTCTGTGATTTATCAGTGTGTGAATGGATCAGCTACAAAATAGTTGTTTGAGCTTATACAAAAATATGTTCCCAGTTGTATTTCCCAGTATGGAATTAAAACTTATACAGATACGATTTAAGAGCAAAGGTAATTACTTTGTAAACAAATAGATTTCTTTTAATGAGCTAGCTCAGTTTATCAATAAATTGGGCTTTCACGTTTAATTGTTTTGAAGAGAGAGGTTACAGCACATATACCATACAGCCATATTTAACATTCATATGCTCAGATAACATTTATTTTTTTAAATCGGACTAGTAATGTTAAGTGAGTCAAGTTATCTGGTTGTAAAGGTAATAATTATGTGCAGATGGCGTTAATGTTTGAAACGAGGCAAAACATAAATTCCGAGTCCGGCTCGAACAATGTTAATAATGAGTCTAGTAACGATTTAGTGGATAGAGGTTCTTTACAAGTACATTCATGGCAATTCAACCGATCTAACAAACATATTATTTATTACTAGACGAATGCCCGGCTTCGCTCGGGGTCATAACCCCGAAACCGGAAGTGGTAGACTCCCTGGTCCGAGCTACCCCTATACCCCAAATTTCAGACTCGGGGCAGACCTAGTGTAGCCGCCAACCCCGAACAGACAGACAGACAGACAAACGACAGTCACAAATATTAGTATAGATTTAAACACGGGTGACGGTAGCAAGTTACTATGATAACAAAGATATATTCCAGCATTTTATCGCAGCCTAGATCCGCAGCCTTGGATGACATATTACATAAACAAGAATACCACAGCAAATGAGGAGAATCTAAATTGGGAATATTATTTATGTTATTAATATATATTATACCTCTGAATGCTGGACAGATATCCCACACATCGTATGCACTTTTACCAGAAAACTGACCAATTGACAGTTCCAAAAATGATAGTGGAAACGCCACTATAAACATGAATATGGCGTACGGAATAAGGAACACAGCTGAAAAAAAGAAAATGCGAAACGGGATAGTGTATAACAAATGTATTAAAGCCGAACATTTAAAATAAATCATCAAGGGAAAGCGATATCTAATTTGATGGGCCAATTTGGAGCAGAAATCTTACTTTTTCTGGGACACCTGGCACTAGCTTGTGTGTGGGTGTAATGGTTATTTTCTAATTATTTTAATTTAGGTTGTACATTTATTATATTCACTAGCGGATGACTCGGCACTGCACGCTCCAAAACCGGAAGTCCGACGCCACCTAGCCCGTGTTACTCCTATTCACCAAATTTCAGCCTTGGGATAGCCCTAGTGTAGCCGTCAACCATGAACAGACAAACAAACATTAGTCACAAATATTAGTACCCGTATAGATTGTCTCGATTTTGCCTGTTCGCTCTTTTGCTAGCTATCAAGTATTTCATTTTATATGCGATAAAAAAAAAACCCGAATTCTAAAACTTAATTTAACGGAATTTTCGCTTTTGAAATAATAATTATTATTATTATTATTATTATTATTTCTTATAAAAAAAATACCAACCTCCGCCGTTCCTGGCACATAGGTACGGGAATCGCCAAATATTACCCAATCCTACACTATATCCAATAAGGGACAGTAAAAACTCCAAGTTATTCTTCCACTTTAACCGGTAAGGTTTGGTTTTTACCATAGATACTACCGCTTTTTCAATCATCTTATCTGATTCGAAGCTAAAAAAATTCTTATGTGAAAATAGTTTACCGCCTGTGAAATGGTTGTCTACGATGTCACCCGAAAAGAAAAAGAAGTGAAATGACAATAGCGCCAGTAACATTAACATGCATTAAATCGTAGCTATTTTTCAGAAATAATTACCATTAAATTAATTTACATTATTGGTAAAATGACATTATAAAAAAAGAACTCATGCTGTGTAATTTGACAGAGTTTATGTAATTATACCTCATAACAAATGTCAATGTTTCTGAAAATAAATTTACCACTTTAGTGTATATTTTACATATTATGTAATTTTCCATGGTAAAATTACTAAAGGGAATTGATAAGTAATCCTATGTTCGATCCTCTCGGGAACCTTTCAGTCGACAATGTAAAATGTAAAACAGCATTCGACAATGGAAGGAAATTATATAAAATAAGAGTAGGTGGGATCAAACCGTCTAAGCAAAATGTCCCACACAACACAATGTATGGCCTATGTCTGTCTTCATCAGCCAGTTAGGTGCATATGGATTTAGAATAACTTATTTATCAAAAATAGACTAAACAGACTGACAGAAAAGTAAATATGGTGCACAAAATTCGGTATGGCAGAACAGTAAATATGTTGCACAAAAAAATTCGATATGTCGTCAAAGGGGGAATAACCAATGTGACCACAGAGAGTATTGTTTCTGTAATCGATTTTGATTCTTCAGTCGAATCTTTCTTTGCTCTCGAGGATTTTCAAAGGCGAGAACACGAGGGCGAGAAGTCGAGGTGAAAATAATCTCGTGTTCTCGGGACGAGATCCTCGCATTCTCGCCCTGTTTCCTCGTGTTTCTGAAATAGCCGCATAGGCTTCCATAACACGGGGCCACGGCTTTTCGTCCCATCCGAACGACCAGACAGCTGCCCTTGTCAGGCCCTCCATATTGCACCACTGACAAGGGAAACCACGCCGGGAAATTCCGATGAACTTACTCGCCCATCACCGGGAGCGAACCCTTGACCTCCAGGGTAGCGATCCAGCCTCTTACTCGCTTATCCGTCGTGGCTCCGTTATTAATTAATTGTATTGGAGTGTCTGTAGATGCTAGAAGTATCTTCCTGTTAGTCATATTTGGTTTATCAACAGCCCTTGGTTTGTTTAACCAGCTATTGGGATGGTTTTAAAAAATGTAAATTTGATCTACATGGTAACACATCAATTGGTTTAATTATTACCTCGGCATTGGATTCAAATCTATTCTAGTAAATAAACGGCGGGGTTCCACAAGTCGTCGCGCCTTATCGCTCACCACAAATTAAACAATATGTATTCTATATATTGGTGTTTTCTTTTGTGTTCTAGTGTAGTCGGAACTCGGGATCCAGAAGAAGTGATTTTAACCACTGAATGATAAGAAACATGTTAAAATTAAATGACAGTAAAATAGAATGTATTTTATTAGAACCACATACACACGTGTGATGAGGTTTTTACAGATTCAACAATTGTACTAGTTTGTTAGTAGTAATATCTAGTACCAATAAACGAAAAATTATCGCCAATGAAAATATTGCGATTATTAGTACTCAAAATATTTCAATTAAGATTATTAAAAATCCAAATGTTCTTTTACTTGCGCCCCAAAACATAAACGTGAAATCAGTACGATTAAACTCCTTTTTGAAACAGAACAGATTGCGTTTTGCGTATTTAAATTAAATCAATATTTTAACAGTGGAATCTGTCACATTCGGCTTTGACATCCATCATTATTTTTATGAATTATGGCAAATGCAGATAGACCTTTGGTAAACATTGTGTAAATAAGCTCGTATCTTGCTTGATTATCCCGAAATGAAAATACTTTGATCCCCAAGAACAAAATACTAGCCTTGTTATGTAAGTAGGTATTATCTATAAAGTCTCTTTAAACCTATACACATGCTAAAAAAACTTATGGTATATATTATTTAATTATAAAGTATCTAACGGCATGTTGAGAGATTAAAGGAAGTTGGACAGGGTTGCCATCTTGCTCGGATATTATTTTTCCGAAATGATGGCGCGTATTCTGTACTTAATGACATAGAGAATTCTACAATCAGTTTTCTCGGTTTTAAATGCATATTAACTCTTGGCATCTTTATTTAATTCCACTGTATTCTTGGAGCTGTGTCTTTTTCTGCAATTCTCCTGTATTGTCTGTAAAAATGTATTATATGTTCATTAGTGAATACTGGGGAATCCGATTCCACATCTGACAAAATATTTTCCCGTAGAATGTGCCAGATTAATAACCGTGTCTAAATTTATAACATAAAAAATCTTCTGCCGTATCTAATAAGTAATTTAGGTTGAAGGTCAAAAGGGGACTGAGTATTTCCTAGAGATTCTGACTAAAACTGGGTATACGTATCTGGAAAACATGACAATGAACCATTTAGAGTTGTAATTTAAAGGTTGCTAGGGCAAAATACCGCTTATCCGTATAGTGGGCCTTTATTTATGCGGACAGGAATGAAAATCCGAACAGGGTAGCTGTAGTCTAGAGATAGAATATCTCGGGTTCGAAGTCTGCCATCTTGGATGTTTTTAAAATTTGGCTCTCATTTGTCAAGGGCGACGCCCACAGTGGATGTCAAGGAAAGTATGTACAGGAAGTCGAGAGGAACAAAAAACTGAGACCCACCCGATAATGAATGAAGTGTATTTGGCTGTTTTAATTACCGCTTCAAGAAGTACGAAACTGTATTTGAAAATGACGCGGTGTATCCTACTTTAACGTCTTACTTTTCTTTGCACCCTACTTTTCTGTCAAACCGTTCATCGGGATTTTCCGGCGTGGTTTCCCCTTGTCAGTGGTGCAGGACTGAGGGCATGACAAGGACAGCTTTCTAGTCGTTCGGATGGGACGAAAAACGAGGTCCCGTGTACACATTGGCGTGTACGTAAAAAATCCCTTGGCAGTTGGAATTCGATATGTGAATAGACCGTAGCGCCGCTGTCCGGGTAAAATTTCCACATCATATGCCGGTCTTCTTTAGCCCAGTCGGAGCAAAACATTAGGAGGTTAAATCCCATTTTATTTCTTTACAAACCGTGCTACTGAATACAGACAGATGCCATGCAGAGTGCTATATGGGAAACTTTGCCTTATCCTAGACGCTTTTCTTTGCCTGGCCCTCCTCAGGAAACGAAGGAATCGAACTTGGAAACTACTGTTTATTGAATCAGCGACTATATGAACTGAACTGTCACCCTCTTCCAAGAAGATGGTTATTACGTAGGCCTGCCTTTACGTACCGCACGTTGTTTTTGATTCCCCAACATATAGTGTCATCATTGACATAACTGGAGCGAAAATGAAGCAGTATCAAAGCTGGAAGCGGAAGAGACTTAACAGTTAAGTTTCGTTCGTGAACGAAATAATTTAGTGGAAACCCATTTCAAGGTCTTTTTAAATTTCTTATGGAAAGGACATTAATATAGAACAAAACTCGGGTAGAAAAAAGGATCAATTTATAATAATATATTGTATTATTAATTAAATGTACACTAAATGTAATATCGTGAAGAACCCGTACTCCTGTAATAATTAGGAGGTTTATAGGTTTAAGTTCACTACTGTTAATTTAAAAGAGCTAAACTTTTAACTCAATATTATTCATAATATTCGAAATTAAAAACACGAATTAAATGTAGAATTCAATATCTTATCGTGAAAATATGGGATCCTAATATCCCATATTTAAGACACAACGAACATTTTAAAATCAGTACACGGCGTTGTGTATTCTGTTATTAACCGCGTCCTTTATGGTATTTTGTCGCCACATAGAATCGTATGAAAGTAAAACAGAGAATTCTAATTTTCATATTCTGTTTAAGCATCTGAATACATGATTTTAAGATTATAGTCCGTTTATAATCCTGTACAGACTCTCTTTTATTATTACTTTAAAACGATGGTTTTATTCTCTGAAATAAAAACAATAATTAATAAAAATTAAATTAAAAAGAAAATAAATGTAATTAATTTTCAATAATTTATATTCGAGATAACCTTCTTCTTACAGAAGATATTTCCCACGTCCCACGAGCCTTCTTTTGACTTAATAAATAGAGAATCTCCTACCAGTCTTTTTTGATATCAAAAAAGACGAGAAGGAGATTTTATTTATCATCCAATCCCTACTTACATGCACATATAGATAAATATAATTCTTTGCAGTAGATTTCACTTTTACTGAACATTACGGCGTAGTGATACATCATTTTTTGACAGCAATTCAACCATTGCAAAGTCCTTTATATTGACCCAGTGTTTCCATCAAGGTCAATTGAATAACAATAGTTCATTTTTGATAAAAAAAAAAGTTACTTTTAATAAGAAATGAACTGTTCTTTGAAAATAAAAAAAAGTAGTTCCTTTTCAACTGACCAATCAAATTCATGTAAAGCGATATCTCCTCAGGAGATATCGCAGTAGATTATGAAATATATCACACAAGCGATATCTACTCTAGAATGTGTTATTGGGTGATAAAAAATATTAAAAATCATTTTAACTCGTAAAATGAGATAAAATGTCTATATTATTTCAACGATGGCATGCGTGGTCGATATATTTAAAATTTGACATACAATCTGAAATTAAATAAAATGGGGCCGTATAGTCAGCTACGACTAAACATTTGCCCGGACAGCGGTACTAGGTTCTACTCGAGTACCAACTGTCAATGGTCCTTTAACGTGTGTGCTACACGTTGTCCCTGCGAAGGGGGATATACGCCGCGAAATCCCGATTAACTTTCTCAGCCAACACCTAGATCGAACACGGGACCTATAGGGCAGCGAACTATTGTCCTACTTACTAAACCACCACGGCTACTACATCTGATTTGAATATTCCTTGAAAAACTGTAATCAAATCACGTAATTACCAACCGTGCGTTCTTAAAAAACATACGTAGTACTTTTTCATCTGTGCATAATTAAAACAAGAGAAAAATGGTGTGGAAGGAAAACCAATAATTCTATTTTTACATCGTCTTTGTGTACCTGAATGAAGATGGTACTATTTCAAGATTTCATACTCTGTAGTTCCTTACAATCAGATTGTATTGCCAGTTTATAATCTTTGGCAGGACCCCACTTTTCATTGGGTTGAAATGATAATTTTATTCTCTGAAATAAACAAAGAAAACATGTGCTGAAATCGGACAGGTGGAATATTTTGCCCTCCAATTGTTGGACCAACAAAATAACGCAACTATAATCACCAAGAAAACAATGACAAAGCATATTATAGTAAAATACTATTTGGTATTCAAAGTAAACCTTTATTCACATAATCAGCAGAAATGAAACCAAATGGATTTTACTTCCCACTGTCCCGCTCCGACTAAGCTAATGAAAGTGTGCTATGAGGGAATAATTGTGTCTGGACAGCAGCGCTACGACCTACTCAAATCGAATTCCACACACTCTGTCCTGTATCACCAATGATCTTTCTCGGCCAGCACCGGGGTTGATCACGGGACCTCCAGGTTAGCGAGCCAACTTCTTACTCGCCGAGCCACCGCCTTACCCACCGGGCCACAAAATTTTTTATAAGCATTATAATTTGACATTTATTTGTATCATTGGCTTCTTGTGAATATTTGTAATGAGGTGTACTGTCTTGTTGCACTTACTGTCAGAGTAAGCGAAGTTTTATTCGCGAAAGATTGAACGATATTCAGTTACTTTGGAGACTTGAAGATAACTTATTGGGAGTTAAGTCGCTAGCCCTCCGAAATATTGACCATAAGCATTTTACAGTAAAAACTTGATCAATGTGCAGTTTAACTTAGATCAAGAAAAACAACCGAACAGATACATACACGTAAGGAATCCGTAATTATGATTTTACATAGCTAAACATTTGCGTAGTACTTATGTATTTCAATCCATTGCTTATCCACGTTGTTTCCGCGTGGGTATTGACCTTAATGACACAAGAGTTATTTCCCATTTCTAATTGATTGAAACCTGAATTTCAGTCTGATTTATCGAGTCACTCAAAGAGATTAACTAACTTTTAGTCTGTTCTTAAGTATACCTGTAACAATGGACCTTTTCTAGTAATGAATTCTCGGATCATCCATATAGGTATAGGTACAGCAGATATTAAAGCTATAATCCATCCTATAGCACTAGCATATGGTGGATACACATAGTCTCCATAAGTGGGTGGTTGATATTGAACTAGAGTAAATACAAGAATTACCTGAAATCATAAATTGAGGTATGGTAAACAGCTGAACGTTGATCTTAATCAGAAAGAAATATGGAACGGGCTCTCATGGGGGTCATTTCATGACTAACATGCTTGCGCGTGGGTGTGGGGGGATTCTTTTGGCAGTGCTAGGAAAGCAAAGGACCCGGAGAAAAAAGCCACGAGGTAGGACGGACATGGCTTGAGTATATAACATGGAAATTCCACTACCATACACCTTGAGTTTTAAGACAGAGGCAAACTATTCGTGTACATGTATTCTGATCTTCCAATTAATAAAGAACCAAGATGCCACACGTGCGAGAGTACGGTGGTTGAAATGCTCGTTTCGCTGGTATAAATAAAAAGCCCAGAAAGTGATCATCAATATAACAATACATATCATTTTGGAATATGGATTTCATGGACGAACACGTAGTTTTATCACTAACCATGACATAATGATCTTTAAGCTAATAAATAAATAAAATGACTAGCACTACGTTCTCTGATAGTCTCAAACCAGTGCGAGTTCGTGTTCACCTAATCTGAAAACTTACAGATAGAATTAAAGGATTTATAAATTTCCAGAGAATCTTAAACAGGAACAATGGCCGCTTTCCTAGCATCATTTCCATATCACCAAAATAACGATCCGCTCCTGTTGATATAAAAATATAAAGTATACAAATTTAAGGCGCCGGTTTCTAATAGAATCTGTTGCTATAGAAAACAGAAAATGCACAGTAAGCGCTTGAGGATGAACTAAAAAAGTATTTCGGGCTAAAGGCGACGGTGCAGAACGGCTTTACTGTGTTAAATACACAATCCTACAAAATCTACTCCAGAAAGTAGTGACGCTAGTCCTAGAGATATTTAATCTCTGAACGAAAAACTCCACAAGAATGGAATACTGCTTCAGCTATTCCTATGCATAAGTATGATAAGTACTTCTTCGAAAGCAATACCATTATTAGAAATCAACAAAGTGGCTATCGTGCAGATAGGTCTACTGCAGACTACTTTAGCTGACTTAGTGTGGGTGGACGGTTTCGTATAAATATTCCACAACGCAAAAATCAAAGGCTGCATGTATAAGTGGAGGGATTACTTTCTAAACAAAAGGCATAGACATATTAGGGTACGAGTAGGAAACTGTATGAGTAAATAAATTGAAAACGATCTTCCAAGCTATGCTCTCCAGGATGCCGAATCGGCACTCTTTTCAACCGATACCACATTTTGGGTGTCATCAAAAGATATTGAAAACAAATCGACATTTGCAATATACTCTCGAACAAATTTCGAAATAGGCAAATGACTGGGGTTTGAAATTATCAGAAGGAAAGACAATAGCAGTGCTGTTCTATCCGATTGATAACAATAGGAAAATGGGGTTCAATTTGACGGCACAAGACTAGAATTTAAATCAGGGACTAAGTTCATTGGATTGGCCTTCGACTCACGACTGATATGGAAGCCACATATTGATGGCATTGTTAGCCGCACATCCAAACCCCTGAAGAGAATGAAATACATGAAAGGGACACAATGGCTAATCGACCGATGCACTCTTATGTTAATATACACATCACTTATCCGGTCGATATGCGACTACGCTGCTTGTCGACAATCAACTGGGTAGATTCTATAGAATCCACTCTTATGTTAATATGCAGATCACTCATCCGTTCGATGCTCGACTACGGTGCTTGTAGACAATCAACTGGGTAGATTCTATAGAATACAGGGTAATATAACAATTGCCCTTTTACATGAAGTGAAAGATCTTCCATTTGGTCTCGGGCGAGAGGAACTTTCACTGATATAGTGAGCCAAGCTGCAAAAGCTCAAAGATGTCCAACATACAACTGCCCGTGATATTCTGGCAAACTTCAAATGATATAGTAAATCAGCCCAATGTGCAAGGAACGATTATTGAGACTAAAACATTAAAACAATTATAGAATATTCGTCTGTGGTGTACAGAAATACACAATAAACCCCTTTGGTGTACAAACATACACAATATACACCAGTACAAAAATACACAATAGACCTTCAAATAAAGACGAAACTTCACAAACGCCTACTATTAAATATAGCAAGAGAATAATAATCAAAATAACCTATAACATACACTGAAAAAAAACTTGTGTTGAAACAACACAAACTTGTGTTATTTTCAACACAAGTTAGGTGTCTCTATTTAACAACACAATCTTGTGTTAAATGTTGAAACAACACAAAACTTGTGTTAAATGTTGAAACAACACAAAACTTGTGTGAAAATCTACACATTATTTGTGTTGAAATTTCTGAAACTTGTTTGTGTTGAAATTTCTGAAACTTGTGTTGAAATTTCTGAAACTCGTGTTGTTTCGTACAAACTTGTGTATAACAAAAACGTGTGTTGTATTTTACCAATTTATATCCAGTATAGCAACCTTTCGAATGCAACCCCTTCCATTCGTTCTGTTTAAACTGTGATTATTGATAAATGACATAATAATTTTGTTTGTTAAATTATTATTTATTTATTCAATAAATGATATGAAAAAATAAATTAATGCCTAATTAATACCAATACAGACATCTCTAAGGTTAATAAACAAAGTTAATTCCAATACTAATAAAATTGTGTTATACAATGAAAAAATACCCCCCCCCCCATTCCCAATTATTAAATAAAAAGTAGCTATTTAAATTGAAAAATAAAGCACCGAGACATTTGGAATATTAATCAACAAAGTTAATTTCAATACTAATAAAATTGTGTTCAATAGTAACAATATCCCTCCACCCCTCAAAAAAAGCTATTTAATTTTTTTTTACAATTAACCTTAAAAAGAACTGAGAATATAATATATATGTTCACAATATCCCTACCCCATGGTCCCAAAACATACATTTTAAATATATCTAAATTTAATATCAACTAAACCAAGCACTAAAGACATTAATAATGCACTAAATTGAAATACTTTTAAGAAAAAATAGTCCCTTTAACAGATTAGGAATTCAAAATTTTCTACAGTATATAAATGGGAACTAATAGATAAAGCACAGGCAAATAATTATAGATAGATAAAATAAATATAGCATAAAAATCAAACAAAATGGAGAAAATTAAAAATTTGTAAAACAAAAATTGATTAATTAATAAAACCATTTTATATAAAAGAGGCATTAACATCCGAAATGTTCACTAAATGTTTAAAAATAAAGGTTGATTTCATCCTACAATAATACATTTTTATAATTATCGAATGTTACTATTAATTATTGATGATCCCTCTATATTATTTCAAGTTTTCAGGCCAAATCTTTAGTGTTTAGGATTACACTGCATTCTATATAATGAAACAATATTAGAGATGGTTTGGTATTTGACATTAAAAACAAAAATGTGATTAAAAAGGCAATATAACTTTTGGGTTTCCACAATAAGATCTGTAAAAGAATTTGATGACTTTATATTCAGAATTTAGAGTTGTTTTCTTTCTTTGGTATTAATATTCACTAAATAGATATAATTCTCCAAGGATGTTCAAGTGATTATTATAAATACACTTATCGACAAATGGGGTTTTGATGTGGATTTAACTTGGTACACCAGTCATGGGTATAGAGTTATTTAGATGGCAGAATAAAAGTAAAATAACTCATTGAGCAGGGGGCGGCGGCGGGGGCGGGGGAGTTGAGAAGAGCATAATTTAACAATATATTATATTATTTTGAGACTCATATGTATGACTACATGCGAAAGCAAAAGGCGGGTGGGGGGGTATTTTAGTCAGGTAGCATTATTTCTTACTCATGTACACCAAAAACACGTCATCTCGCCTAAACAGATGTTTTACGCCAAAACGCTTCAACTTGATTGATTGCCATGTTTTTGGTGTATATTTATATCTTTTCTTGGGCGCCGAATCGAACTACGGCTTTTAAAATGTTCAAAAATCGACGTAAATTGATTTTTTCAACGTTAGTTGGTATACAACGATGAGCACATGAGTGAGTAGACTGTGGGAAAGTTACGACAACTCATTTCCAGGCGCCATTTTGGGTCCCAATTATGACGCCATAAAAGCTATGACGTCATGGCTTCATACAGGTTTACATACCAAAATTTGTTTTTTTCTTGCAGTATTAGACGTTGAGGGATAATATAACGTTTTACCCTTAAAAAAATGCAAAAGAAACCAATGCAGTTTGGTTCAGTGATAAATATATCAAACAAAATCATACCCAAAATCGGAGAATTTTCTGAGATCGATATCTCGTAATCAGTGTGTTTTACTATTTACTCGTTGGATTATAAATGATTTCTTTTTAAATTCCTCATACACAGAGTGGTTATGAAAGCGAAATGTGCCGAAAAATCGAATTTGACAAACGTCAAATTAAAAAAAAGAAGTATTTGTTATATGGTGCCGGGCGTTTCTTTCATAATGGCCGCCAAATTTGGTAATATTATTATTATTATTATTATTACAGCATATTTATAGCGCGCCCTTTCATAAAACATGTTCAGGGGCACTTTACAAAGTGACAATGTAATTATAAATAAACAACAAGATTATGGACATGTTAACAATTGTATACAGAGTCAGTTAAAAGCCTCATTAAATAAATGTGATTTAAGTTGTTTTTTAAAAGAATATAGAGATGTACAACATCTTAAACTAAATGGTAGATTATCCCATAAAACAGGTGCTTGATAACTAAAAGAGACTAGTTGAACAGTTTTGGGCTTTAAAAATAGTTTATCTGATGTACGTAATGTTCGACCATTATATCGTGGTTATGTACGCGAAATGTGCGGAAATCGAATTTGACAAACATCAATTAAAGAAATGTATTTTCCATGTGGTGCCGGGCATTTCTTTTAAAAGGGCTACCGAATTTGGTAATACATGTATAAGGCAATTTAACAAAAAAAACATAAATTTGGTAGACTAAAAGGGCATCTCTTAAGATACGTAAGATATGACTTTTGCAATGTCCTTTATATGGTTTTCGATGTCTCTGAATTTGAAGATAAATTTTGAAAATACAAAATAGCAGCAACACCAATTGGCGGATATTAAATTAATCGTCATTTTTCCTGTTGGATATTAGATAGTGTCTCTTAAGCATGATGTACACTGTAGTTCGATGTACCCTGTAGTTCAGATACAGTCTCCAAACCGTGTTTACACTGACTGTAGTTTGGGTGTAGTTCGTCAAATGAAGATGAATTTTACGATACAAAAAAATGAATATATTGTAAACGCGCTTTAAATATCTGGATGCGATAGACTTCGTGATAAAAAATTCAAGGTACATTATATCATTGGCAATAATAAGATCCAATTTTAGTTTTTAGTTACACACTGTTAACCACCAATAGATGTTTTAATGACAATAAATCATAAAATGTATTCAGCTCGACGTAAGACATAAATAGATACAGTTGGTTTAACTTGAATAGAAGTTTTAATTATCTATTTTGCATATATGCATATATCACCTTGATGTTCATATCGTCTTACGAATTTGTCAACCATGCAATGTGAAGTAGATGTCAATAATATGGTTATGTGCATAGGCGTACGAGCTGGGGGGGGGGGCTGGGGGGGGGGGGCACACAATTGTACTTTGTAAAAGTTGTATAAAAAAATATTGTGTTCTTGAATGTGTCCAATTTAACAGCGAATTTATTATTATTATGTAACATATTAAGAACCTAACTACATTTTTGGGGCACCAACCACCACCGCCCCCCAGTCAAAAATTTCCCCGTACGCCTATGGTTATGTGTAAGAATATTCAGTTCAATATATTCATGGTGTATGATTTTATTCATACTTCAATTTTAGTGAGTTACTTCTGCAACGTTTTTAGAAAAAATTGCTATTAATTTGGCCAGTACTGTAATAGCAAGTGTATAAATATTTTCTGTTCAGTCTGTACACAGTAACATATCTGAGAACCATATTATCATTTCTGCCCAAGGCTCCCTGTGATTTATAGTTAGCAGTGATACAAGGCAATTACCAATTTTCCATGCTCTTGGCCTGAAGAAATAAAATAATAAAAGTCAAGTTTTTATTATTATGCAAGTGGAAAAATACAATTCTTCATGGTATGATTTGAATAAATACAACTGATTTGAAGTTGGAATTATTATTTGTCTAAGATGACTGGGCATTTACAAATTGAAATAGCTACTCTTCATCAAGAAAATACATAAATATTTTTCCCAATTCACCTGGATTTTATTGTAGGTCTTTGTACGTGAAATAGCTTTATTTAACGTCCGCTTCCACCGAAGTGGTATTGCAGAAAATTAACAAATTAGGATTCCCTTTTAAAGGAATTAGACTACACTATCGCTGGATTGTATTATATTCAAAATGGCGCCCAGAACACAAAACAAACATTGCAATTCAGGGCGGACTGGTGTCGAGGTTGTATCCTAAGAATGATTTTTTGAATATTTAATCAAACAGAAACACAATTATGCACATGCAGTTATGATATAATATTAAATAAGCTTACCTCAAATACCTCGAAATATACTGTTTGGTCAGTTTGTCCGCCCGCCATATTTCTGTTAGTCACACATCCTTCGGCCAATTAAAATGGAGGTATATTTTGTTTTAACCGAAACGAAAAATTTGCGTTATAAATACATTGTATTAAAAAATACCAAAATCACAAACCTGATATTCTTATTTTCTGAACAAACTTTTCTCACAACAATATCACTTTTTTCGAAACTAATGCTTAATAATACAGTTAACATTTGCAGTACCACAGGGTTTAATACCGCAAAATTACTTCAATAAATATTTCTTTCTTTGTTTTAAGAGTAATTTAAGAATAAATTTCCAATTTCGATTAATAAACCAATTAAATTAAATAAAAAGATTAACTCGACTATTTCCACGCCCATTCAAACATTTTTTTAAAACGTAGATATAACACAATTGTTATTGTCTTTGATGTGTCAAGTTTATTGGGGCGATATCAATCAGACACTTCCAAATGCAGACATTGTAATAACCTGTCTCTGTATATTGTCTGAGACAAGATGTGAAAATATACAAAGAGTAGAATCAGAATAATCTTTTATTATATCTAATTAAATAAATAGTTTATATTTAGATAATAATTGACTAAAACTTTGATCTCTTATATCAGTGTACTGTTATAAAATACGTTGTTTTAAAAGAGATATTAAATGCATCGCACGATACATACATTGCGATTTCTACTTAATGTTTGTAATAATTAATATATCCTTTTAGATAATTAGAAATATTAAAAAATAAATCAAGTGAATTACTCGACATTCAAATTCAGGAAGAGTGGTTTTACATCTAGGCTAGTGATAAAGGAACATAATAAATGTTATCTTTAATGTCGACGTAATTAATTATATGGGAAAAAAACACATAAGATTTTATAAATGTACACAAGTTTGTGTTAAGACATTGAAAAAAACACAAACTTGTCTCATTGCAATGCAATACAACACAAACATGTGTTAAATATTTTTAACACAAGTTCTTGTGTTGAGATCCAACACAAGGGTTTTTTCAGTGTAATATACATATTATAAATATTTTAACTATACTTACCGTATATCCATCCAATAATTATAACCTCCAGAACTGTTATTAGAAAGACTATAACGGCTGACATATACCAATCTACAAGCTGATATATATATATTCCTGCCTAGAATTAACGAATACGTAATAACTTAATATTAGAAATAACTACCAGGAAAAGAAGTACCATCTCTAAAAAAGCCAACTGGTCTCTAATAAGTGAACAGGTAATCAAGTGGATGATACTGGGTTTGGAAATGTTGGAATATATTCACTTCATGAGCTTAACATTGAAGAAACCGATAAACGAATAAAATGTATTGGAAGAAATTGATAACAGAATAAAAAGAAATGCATAAAAGAGATGCATTTAAATGACCCATAGAACTTATATATTCCCTCCAGAATGAAGTTGGGCTTAACATTAGAGAAATGGATAAAATAATAAAATGGGCTTAGGATTGAAGAAATGAATATAAGAATAAAAAGAAATTGATAAAAGAAATGCATTTTATATAATCCATGCAACTTACTTGAGATGTGAATATCAAACTAACCAAACACATCAGGAAACACGTGACTGCTGTAATCATTAAGCGTAGTTTTGGAGTTGATTTGGGGATCAAATCTGTTATTGCCGTTACGCATACTTCCACATTAACAAACTATTAATAAATGAAATTGTTAATAATCTTGCTGCCAATATAGCTTACATGTTGAAATAAATATTACATGGTTTGTTTTGTGGAAGGTCCGTCTTTATTAGCCCAGTCGGAGCAGAACAGTAGGACGTTAAACCTCATTTCATTTTTTGAAAGGGAATATAAGCATTATTCAACTACTTATTTTATATCTAAATGATAGATCGCATTTTCGATTTAAGATCATAGTAATGGCACAGCCGATTTTAATTAACATGACATAGTAATTGAAGAAAATTGGTTCACTTTCACAGAGAAAAGTATGTTTCCATAAATAAATGGGCTTTCTAACAGTATAATCTATCAATCTAAAAATAGGAATATGTCTTAGAAAAATATGCGCAACATGTTATATAAGAAAGCGCATCTCTTACCATTGAATCCAGTGCAGCAAAAACAAGCATCAAGAAAAATAATACCGCCCATAATTGAGGTATTGGTAGCTGACTAAGTGCTTCTGGATAAGCAATGAAAGCTAGACCAGGTCCTAATAAAAATAAAAAGAACCAGTCGTCAACATCCCGCACACTTTGATAGGTTTAAAAGATACAAGGATATCAATATCTGTGTTATTGGTAATCAACAGCCAAAATCTGCATGTGAAGCAAATAGTATTATGCTGTCTAGACATCACCGCGAAATTATTAAAAAAAATTTCTAAGAATGAATATCAAAAGACTAAAAAGCTTGAATAATTTATGAGATATATCAAGTTACGAAAGGGGTAATTTGTAACGGGTGCAGATACTCCACTAGACTGATGTGTACAAAGTGTCATTAAGAAATCTTAAACAGTTTATGAGATGTGCTCAAGAATAAAAATTGAATTCCAAAATTTAAGTCAAATTTGTTTCCGAGCCTGACAAGGAAAGTGTTCTAATCCTTTGGGTAGCTTTGACATTAAACTACATTCCACTTAAGTTTTAAAATATATCTATATTTTGTACTTTGTTTCCGAGCCTGACAAGGAAAGTGTTCTAATCCTTTGGGTAGCTTTGACATTAAACTACATTCCACTTAAGTTTTAAAATATATCTATATTTTGTACTTTACAAATATTAACAGTTCTCTTAACTTTGAAAATGATATATTCTGTAGTGCCATCTAATGAACATCTAAACCTACAGTTGTGTCTGGTAGACATCATCATCGCCGAATCATTCGACAATGAGATAGGTCTGAGGGCAGAAATATATACGGAGAAATTTTATCAGTCGGTGACAATTTGTCGACATTTTTTAAAACTTAACTCAATGTCGGACAATGTGTTCACATGTTAAAAGCTCCAAATATTGGTAGTTGTTATATTATTTACCTGTACGGATAATCTCGGCTATGTCTAGACCAGTTTGGTGGGACATGAAGCCAAGGATAGAAAATACCACAAAACCAGCATAAAAACTTGTACCTTCTCCAACAATACAAAAAATGATGGTATCCCTGAAATGTTGCAAGCCGTTGTGGCAAATGTTAATTGTCTAGTAACATAGTTAAATACGTATTGCCGGACTATGTTTGTTAAATTTGCATATAGACTCTAGTAATTACACCTAATCACGTTGTTTAAGATACAGTATAACAAATTGTGACATTCCATCACATTGTAACTTCAACTCAACGAGAGACTAGTTGTGTACTTCTAACAGCACATACAGAACTTCTGTATTCAAGAAGCTGTAGGATTGCCGGTGTGTGATTTTTGCTGAGCGATCAGATCAATGTGGTAATGGCTGCGCAGTTTTGAATAACACATACTTATGACGTGCTAGACGGTACCGAACACAATAATGTTTCTCTACTTTTGTTTATTGTACGAACAATATTAGATTATGGAAATACCGAAGACTCCGGACTGATCATCTTTTAACACGGTTTTTATCAGCCAAGTCGTTTAAATACAAAAACTGGAGTGACCCTTACCTCATAACATTGTTATCAAATTTATTATAACTAGACATTGTGATAAATCCTCCCCACCCCATCCCCGCTGAATAAAATATTTGCATCAACGCCTGTACCCACATCTATAAAAAGAAGAAATATAAAGATAATTTTCAATACCGGTATGCTGAAATGGTCTACACCTTGTCGATTCCTACAATTTCTAAAACTTTACATTTATAGATTCATTTGTGTACTATTATGTATTTCTTTCATTGCTTTTTAAACGTTTTATAAACAATTTGTTTTTCAAATTATATATCAACAAGAGAGCACTTGTTGCCCATATAATATGATTGTGCTACACTTGCCAATTTACTGCCGTGACAAAGAACATTGTTACATTGATTAGAATGCATTAAAAGAGAATGAAACGTTTAAATATCATGAATATGTTTTATTTTGTATAAATACACAACTGCATAAAGCTAGTGCTTAATCATATTACGGTATCGGTATTTGGCAAAATCACAGTGGAAATATTGTACGTAATATATAATCAGAAATCCTGTAGAATTCCATTAACTATTTGATTCTTGAAATAAAACAATAACAGATATGCATTAAAACAACCCTTATCATGTGGAAAAATAACTTAATTTAGGAAAACCAGGAACTGTTTGCAATGGTATTTGTTCTGAGAATATTCAGTATAGTCAAATGATAAATTATTTCCCATAAGACGGCTGATGGTTGTTTTATTTATTACTTATAAAATGTGGAATTAAGTAGACCTGTTAATTATGTCAGTTTTAATTAATTACATTACCTGAGGATTAGCTAATTTACTAAAATCAGGAATTATGTAGAATTTTACACCATCTATGGCACCAGGCAAGGTAGCGGCTCTAATTAAAATGATTGTAATAATGATGTACGGTGCTATAGCTGTCAGATATACCACCTAAACAAAAATAGTAAAATATAAACTCGCACATAAATAATAATTTATAGAGTTGATGTGAAGTAACCCAAGGCTAGGCAGCATCTTGACCTTAATATTCATCCACAGAAACTTTCTATCTTCAATCGTGGACTGGTGATTTAAAGATAATAAATATAGAGGCGTGAAATCAGTAAAGAACTATCAGGAATTATAGATACACATATTTTAGGTTAGAATTGGAAATATTAATATTTGTTGGATCAATTTGTGTCTGAAAATTTGTATTTGCTTTTGAGTCTAAAATATTGTGTCTTGTAAGCTTATACAATTATTGTTTATTTATCTACCGTAAATATAAATGGTCTCGTATTTATTTCATTTCACGGGTAATGGTAATAGCGATATCTCTTTAGATAATATTAGATAATATAACGATTAAAAACAAAGGCCACAAACCTCCGTGTCTGTGATGACATAGGTTTCACAGGGTATGGAATTCTCTACAATAACCTATGTCTTTAAATTTAATCTCTAAGACAGCCAGAAACACAAGTCAATGATAAATTAGTATTTAAAACACACACCTTTCCAGCGGATTTGACACCTTTTATTATACAGAGAAATATAATTATCCAACTAATTATAAGTGGAACAACCAGTTGCCATTGCATACTGCCTAAATCATCTAATCCAGTTGACATCCTTAATACATTGTAGCTGAAAAATATGAGACGACATTGAAACATAGCTTCAGTTTTGTTATGCTAGGAGACCCCTATTTGTTACCTATCTGGTGCCAGTTATTATCACATATGGGATAGTACTGATAGAACTGATTAAACACGTTGCAAATATAATTTTAATACAGAGATCATTTCTGCCATAGATGCATTATGAAGTTTTCAAGAAAGGGAAGTGACGAACGCAAAAGGAAAACACGAGTTATCTTTCTATATAACTGACTGACGTGACGAGGGATAACAGATACAATTTCTGCTCACTAAAAGTTGTTATGTGAGGCTGTGAGAGGATATCTGATAATTCAAAAAACGTAACTGAATGTGACTAGATAAGTTAAAATGAGAAAAATAGAAATAGTCCGTACATTCCCTTGTTTTTATTCATTGTATAATTAATAAAAACATGATAATGCACGGACTTTTTCTATTTTCCCCTTTTTTTCTTATAGTGTGACAGTCAATTATTTTTTTGAATTGTCAGATATCATCCCACAATCTCCTATAACCCAGCACATTTTCAGAAAGGGGAGTCCTAAATCCAAACTTATCAATTGTCTAGGAAAGACTTGGATGGAGTTCAATATCAATTTGGATATCGGATAATAAGTACACCGAAAGTTTATTTCCTAACTGCTCACTGATTATTGTGCTACTGGTCATTAAAGGGACAATCTGCCTTTTTTATCTTTCAAAAAATGCCTGGTAATATGAATGATCCGATGAACACTTTTTCAAGCAAAAGCGGACTGTAATTTTATAAACCGGATGATTGCAGAACACACTTTGTAGTTTATCACACCTTCGTTGCTTACTTCCAAAATTCTTCAGGTGCAGTAAGACCAATGGTTGAAATATTCACATGCGTCGAAGAAACATTTGTATTCATCAATGATGAATAGTTTGTTGCGTATTGGACGAGATTACGTAAACTGCTTGTAAGATTATTGGTGTGGTTCCCACCAGTGCTGGTAAAATTGTCGGTTCTGTATTGATGAACAAAGCACGTGTCTGTATTCCACCAATTGCCACAGGTCGTCCATGGTAACGGTGACATAAAGGAATGAAACAGATAGTATAAAATCCAGGCTAGGATCATGGTATAATATAAACAAAGGATGCCTGTGACGACGATCATTGCTACTCCTAAACCTGAAATGAGAAAATCAAAAGTATTAAACTTTATTTCATTTTAATATTTTCTCCCCCCCCCCCTTTAAAGTAGTATAATAAAGTTTAACGTGTAATCGCAATATCAACACCATTTCGAACGCTCAAAACAAAGACGTACAGTGCGCACGCTGAACGAAATCGAGAAAACTGTATTACATTGATAGTTAGAACACTATATTTATATATACAACCCTACCCAATTCCCTCTGATGTTGTATTTCATTATGTCCATCTTATATAAGCTGCTTTCGTTCACGTGGCCTCAAATATTTGTTTGGACATGTTCTGTTTCATTGGAGTTGCTGTTAGAGATTAGTGGCGCTATTCTTAATATAAATGACACTAAACGGACTCCCATGCAATTTTATTGCTTGTAATGTAACACTTTGTTGCCCCACTATAATAACGAAGTATATTTTTGACGTACAAATTGGTGTTTTGACACAGATGGGTGTTGTGACATCACTCAAGTAACCTGTACAATCAGAATCATATAAACATATTTTATATTTGACACATTATTTTACACTATATACAACAGACAACCAATGTAATTAAATATTGTAAATACTAGGCTAGTACATTCTCTGAAACATTACGAGCCGCTTTATTTTGTAATGGATTTGGCTGGTAATAATATATACAGTAGGGGATTGCAATGATCTAGTTTTGAAATAATAAAGGCATTAACTAATATACAATTTTAATATATAAAAGAACTTGGCCAGTGATATACAGGTACATGATTTACAGATCATGATATATGTTCATACATGATTGTCATATTCAGATATAATTTAATACAGATGTCTACACAAATATGAACAGCATTTTTGAATACCTGCAATAGTTAAATTACCTCGCTAAACGTTTTTATCTCCAACTATTTATTTATTTTTTGGTAGACTGAATACAAGATCCAATGTCACATAAGGCACAAACTGTCAAACAATATATCTGTAGTTTATATAAACTTCCCTCTGATTACTTCCTATTTCGCTAAAATCGTACCCGTATATAATTTCGAGTGTTCTGTGATTTCATGCTGGCGAATTGAATATCCTCGAAAGTAGGCTAACTTATTTCCCAATCAAAAAGTGAAATTAAATTTGATTATTTAAATTATCGCTTACTTAAGAATACATTATGTAAAATTTAGATAAAGAGCTCATCGTTAATGCTATATTTTTAAAATAGTTAATGCAAAATTTCATTCAAATTACTTTATTCTAAGCGAAGATATTAAGCTTTTGAAGGTTTGACAAGATGTATGCACTGATTGTAACCCCTTGTGCTGGTTGTTAGAAGCTTAGCCTCGCTTCACCATTTTTAGATTAAATCATTAAATGGCTGAACCGTTCTAATCTACTAATCTGCATAATGCCAGTTTAATTCTACAAACACTCCTACTTAAAAATGCATGAGTTAAATCTAACTAGGCCATAATCAACACTCTAGACCATTGACTGGCTTGGATATTAATTGAATTAGAACATCCGCAATATTTTATCATTTAACGAAAGATTGGAAATCGAGACTTCGTTTATTATCGATATTTCGCTATTCTTGTCGAAACTTTAAACATTTATTTTTGACTGTCTATTTTTAAACTATTAATAGCAAGAACCGTCACCTCTTTATCTAAATCTTACATAATGCATCTTTAATTTGAACAGAGAGTTTATTTTATGTTTTTATCTTCTATTCTCACATTTCTGAATAACCTCTGCACGCCAGACGGCGCCTCGGATGTGGTGTGCGCGTGTATACGCTGGTGTGTACGTACAAGAAACAGTTGTAATTCGACAATGGACGGTTTGTCCAGAAAAGTAAGGGCGTTAAACTCAATTTCCTTTCATTTCTTTGTTACCCAGTATGGAATTAAAACTTATACACATACGATTTAAGAGCAAAAGGTAATTACTTTGTAAACAAATAAATTTCCTTTAATGAGCTAACCCAGTTTATCAATAAATTGGGCTTTCACGTTTAATTGATTTGAAGGGGGAGGTTACAGCACATATACCATACAGCCATATTTAACATTCATATGCTCAGATAGCATTTATTTTTGAAATCGGGCTAGTGATGTGCAGTGGGTCAAGTTATCGGGTTATAAATGTAATAAACAGAAATTCGAACAGTGTTAATAATGAGTCTAGTAACGATTTAGTACATTCATGGCAATTCAAACACTCTAACAAGCATATTATTTATTATTTAAACACGGGTGACATTAGCAAGTAAATAAGATATTAAAGATATATTCCAGCATCTTATCGCAGCCTAGATGTGCAGCCTTGGATGACACATTACATAAATAAGAATATCACAGCAAATGAGGAGAATCTAAATTGGGAATATTATTTATATTATTAATATATATTATACCTCTGAATGCTGGACAGATATCCCACACATCGTATGTACTTTTACCAGAAAACTGACCAATTGACAGTTCCAAAAATGATAGTGGAAACGCCACTAAAAACATGAATATGGCGTACGGAATAAGGAACACAGCTGAAAAAAAGAAAATGCGAAACGGGATAGTGTATAACAAATGTATTAAAGCCGAACATTTAAAATAAATCATCAAGGGAAAGCGATATCTAATTTGATGGGCCAATTTGGAGCACAAAGCTTTCTTTTTCTGGGACACCTGGTACTAGCTTGTGTGGGGGTATAATGGTTATTTTCTAATTATTTTAATTTAGTTTGTACATTTATTATATATACTAGCGGATGACTCGGCACTGCACGTGCCAAAACCGGAAGTCCAACGCCACCTTGCCCATGTTACTCCTATTCACCAAATTTCAGCCTTGGGATAGCCCTAGTGTAGCCGTCAACCATGAACAGACTAACAGACAAACAAACATCAGTCACAAATATTAGTACCCGTATAGATTGTCTCGATTTTGCCTGTTCGCTCTTTTGCTAGCTATCAAGTATTTCATTTTATATGCGATAAAAACCTCCCGAATTCTAAAACTTTTCAAAATTAATTTAACGGAATTTTCGCTTTCGAAATGATTATTATTATTATTATTTCATATAAATAATACCAACCTCCGCCGTTCAAGGCACATAGGTACGGGAATCTCCAAATATTACCCAATCCTACACTATATCCAATAAGGGACAGTAAAAACTCCAAGTTATTCTTCCACTTTAACCGGTAAGGTTTGGTTTTTACCATAGCTACTCCCGCTTTTTCAATCATCTTATCTGTTTCGAAGCTAAAACATTTCTGATGTGAAAATAGTTTACCGCCTGGAAATGATTGACTGCGATGTCACCCGAAAAGAAGAAGTGAAATGACGATAGCGCCAGTAACATTAACATTCATAAAATCGTAGCACTTTTTCATAAAACGCACAGAGGCATGTCCAAACGAGACCTACACGTAACTTTGTTTAGAGTAAATCCGGTTAACTAAACAATGCTGCAGTCTTAGGTTTTTACATAATATATAATGTTCACCCATGCCAGTAATTGTTTCATATTTTAGTTTCACACTCCAAAGAATTTAAAAACAGCGATCACTAATTTGATAGGAGGGTAAATTTACCTCTAGCTGTTATGCATCCATGATAAATTTCCATATTTGTGTGACAGTATTGGTTCTTCTTTCTACCAGGTCCTTATGACACGACTAGTTTCAGCTTCTATTAATACTTTCATTCTTCTAAACATATTATGTACAAAACTTAAAGACTCCATAACTAACATATGCTGAGTGAGCCATGGCCTTAGCTTGGCTAGGCACGTGTGCCAACTCCAAACTAACTTACATTACATGGCCCCAGCTCCAGTGTCCTGTCTATTTGTTTCTTAATCTGGGTTTATAAACCTTTCCACACACAAAGGAATCTCATTAGGCATCTGCTATAATGTATCATGTTTCATATCAGTTAACGTTCAGTATAGTTTATCAGACAAAGAAGTAAGATAAGACATGCCATCAACACTATCGCCTACTCTTATATCGAATTCCAACTGCCAAGGGATCTTTTACGTGCATTCCAATGTATACCTGGGACCTCGGTGTTTCGTATCATCCGAAGGACTAGACAGCTGACCTTGTCAGGCCCTCCCTACTGCATCACTGACAAGGGGGAACCACGCCGGAAAATCTGGATGAACTTTCTCGGCCAATGCAGGGATCGAAACCCGACCTCCAGGCTAGCGAGACTGAGAGAAAGGGAGAGAGGGAGAGAGAGAGAGAGAGACCACCGTATCGGCATTTATATTTGGAGAGAGAGAGAAATGGGGTTTAACGTCCACTCGACACAAACTAGGTCATTTCGGGACTAACATATTGTTCAGTTTTATTTCCATAATTCGCTTGCGCGTAGGGATATTTAGCAGTGGAGGAAACAGGACCCGGAGAAAACCCGCGAGGTTGGACAGGCGGCCCTACTCCTTGTCAGGTACAACCGGGAAACCGAAACCACGCCTCGAAACCACGCCAGTTGACCCAATGACAGACTTTATGATACAGCGCGCACGTGCTAACCATTCAGCCACCCAACCCCTTTACATATTTGTAAACGGAGTACATGTATAATTACCATAAAGGTCCCGTGCACACATTGGCGTGCACGTAAAAGATCCCTTGATAGTTGGAATTCGATATAAGAGTAGGCCGTAGTGCCGCTGTCCTGGCAAAATTTCCCTCATAGCACACTGTATGGCGTATGCCCGTCTTCATTAGCTCAGTTCGGAGCAAAACAGTAGGACGTTAAACCCCATTTGATTTCAATTACCATAAAGTTAATTTACATTAATTTACATTTATGTAATTATACCTCATAACAAGTGACAATGTTTCTGAAAATAAATTTACCACTTTAGTGTATATTTACATATTATGTAATTTGCCATGGTAAAATTATTAAAGGGAATTAATAAATTTACCACTTTAGTGTATATTTACATATTATGTAATTTGCCATGGTAAAATTATTAAAGGGAATTGATAAGTAATCCTAGGTTCGATCATTTTGGGAACCTTTCAGTCGATAATGTAAAATGTAAAACAGCATTCGACAATGGAAGGAAATTATATAAAATAAGAGTAGGTGGGATCAAACCGTCTAAGCAAAATGTCCCACACAACACAATGTATGGCCTATGTCTGTCTTCATCAGTCAGTTAGGTGCATATAGATTTAGAATAACCTATTTATCAAAAATAGACTAAACAGACTGACAGGAAAGTAAATATGTTGCACAAAATTCGGTATGACTGAACAGTAAATATGTTGCACAAAATCCGGTATGTGGTCAAAGGGGGAATAACCGATGTGATCACTATTTGACATTAAATTAACAATTTACTGGAAAATAATATTTCAAATGGCATTTCTGTTACTGTACAGCTCACACTTTGTAAACTAACATGTGATTATATTTCTACATAAGTTTGATATAATCTTACATAAGCCTTGTATTATTATGCATTTACATCGTCTTAAATGTAAGTTAAAAAACCACGTGATCTGACAAATCTGACACTGTATTTTACTATACTTATAACTGTAAATATACATATAATTTTAACAGTCTAATTTAGTTAAAGACCAATTACAGTTTATACTGAATTTATGTAATTATGGTTTAGAATAACCTGTAAAACAACATGGAAGTTTATAAGACTGATAAGAGTTATTAATTGTAAATGAAAAAAAATAAAATGGGTTATAACACCCTACTGTTCTGCATACGCCATACAGTGTGTTATGAGGGAAATTCTGACAATGTGTACACGACACGGTATGGAAGCCTCTTGCGAGGGCGAGAACGCGAGGGAGCTAGAAGTCGAGGGCGAGAACACGAGGGACCGAGAAGTCGAGGAAGAGAGTGCGAGAACACGAGAAAACAGGGCGAGACTTCTCGCTCCCTCGTGTTCTCGCACTCTGGCCCTCGATTTCTCGCTCCCTCGTGTTCTCACCTTTGAAAATCCTTGACTTCTCGCGTTCTCGCCTTCGAGTTAATCTCGTCGTCTCGTGTTCTCGCTCCGTCACAATCTCGACTTCTCGTGTTCTCGCCTCGGAAGTGCAGTTTATGCGCATGTCCACTGACTACCGCATCGGCATTTATATTTGGACATGGATTCAAATAGACGGAAATGTTTAATGTTCTAGAAAATTTAATAGTCCTAAACAATTTTAATCTCTTTTTGCACAGAGAGTTTTGTATTCTGTAATCGATTTTAAGTCTTCAGTCGATTTTAAGTCTTCATCAACGTTCATCGGGTTTTTTGATGCGTGTTCTTGTCAGTGCTGTAGGGCGGAGAGCCTGACAAGGGACAACGTATAGTCGTTCGAATAGCATTAAAAAAACGAGGTCCCGTGTCCGGAATCGAAATGAAGTTGGATCTACGGTGGCTCTTTGAGTAGGACGTTTGCTCCCTAACTTTTTTAGAGTTCATTGTGATTTTTCTGGCGATGTCCACCCTTGTCAGTGGTGTAGGACGGAGGGCCTGACAAGGGACAGCGTATAGTCCTTCGGCTGGAATACAAATAACCGAGATCCCGTGTCCGGAATCTAAATAAAGTGGGAGCTACAGTGGCTCAGTGAGCAGGGCGTTTGTTCTCTTACTTCATCAAAGTTCTCCGGGATTTTTGGTCGGGGTCTTACTCGCTTATTCGTCGTGGCCCCGTTATTAATTGTACTGGAATGCCTGTAGATCCTAGAAGTATCTTTATGTTAGTCATATTTGGTTTATCAACAGCACTTTGTTTGTTTAGCCATCTATTGGGATGTTTAAAATGTAACTTTGATCTACATGGTAACACTTCAGTTGGTTTAATTCTTACCTCGCCATTGGATTCAATCTATTCTATTCTAGTAAATTAACGAACCATTTGAAATGTCCGTTTTGAGATGCATATCAAGATGCATAAACAATATGTATTCTATATATTGGTGTTTTCATTTGTGTTCTAGTGTAGTCGGAACTCGGGTCCAGAAGAAATGATTTTAACCACTGAATGATAAGAAACATGTTAAAACAAGCCAACAGTGAGGCTGATGTCCCCCGCCGAAATCCCAAATAAATAGATGACACATATTAATTAATCGCACATCTATTTTTTTCAAAAGTATCGAGCAATCAAACTGATAATCAACTATACACTAAGTTTCACCACTCTCTATCAGATAGAATCAAAGTTATCTTGTCCCAAAGCATCGAGCAAGGAAATTGCTTATCTCTGCTTAGCTTTAGCTCAATATGTTAATCATTGAACTCAGTCAAGACGAACATCTACATCAAGTTTAAACATTCTACCTCAATTAGAAGCAGAGTTGTTATGTTCCAAAGTCTTGACTAATCAAAATGCTTATTGCTCCCTAGCCTAAGCAGACAATTCTCATCATCGAACTTAGTCAAGGTATTGATGTAATGAAACTATACACCAAGTTTCATCACTCTTACTTAATTAGAACTAAAGTTATCGCGTCCCAAAGCATCAACCAATCAAATTGCTTATCTCTACTTACCATAAGCAGAAAATGCTCATCTTTGCACTCTATCAAGGCATTGACCCAATGAACACCTACACCAAGTTTGAACATTCTAGCTCAATTAGAAGGAGAGTTATTGTGTTCCAAAGTCTTGGCCAATCAAATTGCTTATCGCTCTGCTTACCCTGAGCAGAAAATGTTCAATATCGAACTTAGTCAAGGTATCATTGTAATGAAACTATACACCAAGTTTCATCACTCTCACTAAATTGGAACTAAAGTTATCGTGTCCCAAAGCATCAGTCAATCAAATTGCTTATCTCTACTTACCCTAAGCAGAAAATGCTCATCTCCACACCCCTTTAAGGCATTGACCTAATAAACACCTACACCAAGTTTGAACATTTTAGCTCAATTAGAAATGAAATGAAATGAAATGGGGTTTAACGTCCTACTGTTCTGCTCCTAACCTGGGCTAATGAAGAAGGGCATACGCCATACAGTGTGCTATGAGGGAAATTTTGCCCGGGCAGCGGCACTATCGCCTACTCTTATATCGAATTCCAACTGCCAAGGGATCTTTTACGTGCATTCCAGCTCAATTAGAGGGAGAGTCATTGTGTTCCAAAGTCTCGGCCAATGAAATTGCTAATCGCTCTGCTTACCCCAAGCAGAAAATGCTCATTATCGAACTTAGTCAAGGTATTGATGTAATGAAACTATACACCAAGTTTCGTCACTCTGGCTTAATTAGAACTAAAGTTATCGTGTCCCAAAGCATCAACCAATCGAATTGCTTATCTCTGCTTACCCTAAGCAGAAAATGCTCATCGTCGAACTCCATCAAGGCATTGACCTAATAAACACCTACACCAAGTTTGAACATTCTAGGTCAATTAGAAGGAGAGTTATTGTGTCCCAAAAAGTGTGACGGACAGACAGACGGACGAACCCATTTTAATAGTCCCCTGCTTTCTTCGAATGTATTTTACTAGAACCACATACACACGTGTGATGAGGTTTTTAAGGATTCAACAATTGTACTAGTTTGTAAGTAGTAATATCTAGTACCAATAAACGAAAAAATTATCACCAATCGCATTTGTTACAAGTTATTAAAAGAGAAAAGCACTAATATTACCCCCTCAAATCAAAAACTGACTGGTGAGCAGATAATAAGGTCTTCCTCGGATTATATCGAGCTTTATTAAGCTCAAAACTCGATTATCTCAACGAACTTGACACCGTACATAATAAGTTTAGAAGCATTCGGTACATCGCCAGTGGACAGACGTGATAAACTGCAACTATAGTATGTTACAAAGCTTCCATCTCTTTTTAAACATATAACATCACAGCTGCTTAACCCTAAAGCTATTCCATTATTCAGTATTCCTATTCAACCCCTTTTGGCTAGCATCAGTCATGACAGTATTGCGTATACCCCTTTCTTTAGGACAACATCGTGAGCTATATCTCCCCCCAAGATCGATTCGATCTAAATGAACATGAAAAACAACCCAGCGCATCGTGTTTCAGTCTCTCTTTCAATATTTCAGGTCTAAATATGGTGACTGTGCTCCTATTTATACAGATCAGTCTGAAAATAGTGATGGGGTATGTTCGGCTACCGTCACACCTTCTGGGGACATGTCACCTATCTTCTGGACTAGTGTGTTAATCCAATCAACATCAATATTGAAGCATTTTATCTTTTCTGTTTCTTTGATCACCCATTAGTAGCATGCTATTATCAAAACTATATTTAACATTTTGTTTTTAAACTCGTACTATGATAACACTATTTACGCGATGGACCTGTAGTTTGGAGTAAAATTGTCAAAACACAATATTGTACGACCTGGGATATGTAATAGAAACAATACTTTAAAAAGTGTATGTTTTTTTGTAGGGTCACCCGGTATCTCTACTTCAGAAATATCTAGAATGCTGAAAATAAATCAGGTTCATTGACACTGACCCAATGCTTCATATCAAATTTTAAAATCAATACTGTCCATCCTCTCACATTTTCGTTTGGAATACCTTCGGGGACCATTCTATAAGATTCCACCAAGAAAAGAAAAATTATGTTGCAATTTGTTCTAGGTTATTTGGTATCTTTACCGGACTAAGTCATTTATTACATAGCGTGCATCGATTTTGTCGTTTCATGATACAGACAAGCGGACAATAGTAAGAATTATGATTTTTATATTTTCTTTAAGTATCAGAATAAATATATATTATATCGAAATTTCATAATAGGTAGTTCTTCAGAATTTGAGTGTATAATCAGTTTATAATCCTTTGAATTCTAATTTTACATCTCTTGTATACGTAAATAAATATGGTAATATTTCAAGATTTCATACTCTGTAGTTCCCTACAATCAGATTGTATTGCCAGTTTATAATCTTTGGCAGGGCCCCATTTTTCATTAGGCTGAAATGATGATTTTATTCTCTAAAATGAAAAACAAAAAATAGACATGTAAAGAGACCTGACAGGTGGAATAGAGTATCTCGGACTGTTGGGCCGACATGGAATTTTATCTACATTTGCTTGTACAAATAAATGCAAAGCTTTTGACAAAGAAATATCGAAAATACCATTAAATAAAAGAATATTTCATATTCAAAATAACATTTAACTCATGAAATTAACAGAATGATAAGAAGTATTTTACTTTTTTCATTCATCCTATTGACGACTTGCCTTGGTTGGTGTGACACTATTGTTATGTGGGCTGTGTGTGTGTGTGTGTGTGGGGGGGGGGGGGTAACTTCTCTGTAGGTCTAATATGTATCTATGCAGTCTCTAATGTTATAATTATGATATTACTTCTCATTTGAGTAGATTAAAAGCTCACAATGTGTTCGACTGATGTATTAAGTCGATTGTTGATCCACATTATTTCGTTGTGCGCGAGTTTATTTATAACTCTTTTGGATTTATGAAAAAAATTGAATTTTCGTCTGATTTATCGACTGACCCCTAGAGATTCTTCATGAACTTTTAGTTTGCCTTCAACATACCTGTAACATTGGGCCCTTTCTAGTAATGAATTCTCGGATCATCCATATAGGTATAGGTACAGCCGATATTAAAGCTATAATCCATCCTATAGCACTAGCAAATGGTGGATACACATAGTCTCCATAAGTTGGTGGTCGGTATTTAATTAGAGTAAACACAAGAATTGCCTGAAATACGGTAAAATACGAGTGTATTAGTGTAAATCCCATTTTGGCGTGATAAATAGTTGAATGTGTGAAATGGCTTTATTTAACGCTCGCTTCCACCGAAGTGATATCGCTGACATATAAATCTCAGCTGCATTGACCATTTATAGATTTTCTCCTTAACATATTGAACCAGAGTTTCTTTGCAAATTGAAGCATGGTTTTTTTATGGGTTTTTAAGTGTGGCTTAAGAATGAAACCTATAATTTCCACGTATCATACATGCATTGGCTAACATGGTCGATTTTTACCAGCATAAAATAAGTAGAAACTGGTCATCAATATGTAACTGACACTACGTTCGTCAATAGGCTGGAGTTAATCCATTGGTACTCGTGTTTAGCCAGTAAGAATACTTACAGATAAAATAACGGGGTTTACAAATTTCCAAAGAATCTTAAACAGGAACAATGGTCGTTTCCCTAACATCATTTCCATATCATCAAAATACCGATCAGCTCCTGTTGATATAAAGACATTTGCGCCCGATGACATAAATATATAAAGTGTACAAATTAAAGGTGTTGTATATAAAATAGAAAATACACGGTCTCCTGTGAAATGCCCTTTAAAGATATACAAGATCGAAAAAGTCTGAATTTTGACAGGAATCTTCCTTGTAACAAGTCTAGCATATTTGACCAATAGAGTATTCGCAAGAAATCATGAACGTGAAGATAAAATACACAGAGAATCCAAAGTTTAGAATCATAAAGTAAACAATGTACACTTTTTAAATTATACAAAAAATGCGTCTTCGCGTGCCAACATAAATAATATACGTCTGTGGTGTACAAATGTAGTAGCACTATGCGTCACTATGCAGGCGCTGGTTAGATGGGGAAAGTCAGTAAGCCGAAGATTCCACACATCCAACGTGAGACGCATACTCTCTTCTGCTACATATTTTAATAGCCTTGTGATTGTCTAGTATACTATTCAAAAAAAGTAGGGGATATTTGATTTTTAAGTGTTATTAAAGTCACCTAATGAAACTGACGAAGAAACCAATGACAAAATGAAATGAAGTTCACATTCATCGATTTATTCCAAATGATCGTTAGACTAAGTAAGGCACAGACTGGCCATTATAAGGGTAAAATGATACCCGGGGTCAAATAGCAAAGTTACCACAGCATCACAACCAAGTCAGTAACGGGTAAATCCTCCTCTGTTTGCCAAACAAGCATTGATCCGACGTGGCATACTCCTAATGAGACGTCTAAGGTCATTTTGGTCCAGATTGTCCCATTTCTGTTGCAACGCAGCAGCAAGCTCTTGGACATTGGCAGGACGTTGTTGACGTTGACGTAACCTCTGTCCAAGCATGTCCCAGACATGCTCGATGGGGGAGAGGTCGGGACTCAGTGCTGGCCAAGGTAATGTGGTGATGTTCTGTTGTTGGAGGTAACCTGTAACGATCCTGGCCCTGTGACATCTTGCGTTGTCATCCTGGAAGATGAAACGGCGGCCATGACGTCGTGTGAACGGCACAACATGGACTGCCAAGATGTTGTCCCGGTAGTACTGGCCTGTAACACGCCCTGCAACAACATGTAAAGCCGTTCACGACGCCACACCCTCCTACGTCTGTCCAAAAAATCAACAGTGAACCTTGACTCATCTGAAAACATCACATTCCTCCAGCGTCGATTATCCCAGTGTTGACGATCCCTACACCAACGACGTCTTGCCTGAATGTGATGATCTCTCAAACAAGGGATCCGAATCGTCTGGCCACTCACTCTCACACCAGTGTCTGTTTGAAGACGAGCGCTGATCTGATTTGCTGTGATGACACGATTTCTCAAGGCCAAGGTACGGATAAATCGATCCTGGGCTTGAGTTGTCGCCCTTGGTCGACCTGAGCGTGGTCTGTCCTGTACAGATTGTGTATCACGGTATCTGGACCATAGCCTGCTTATGACAGACTGAGAAACATTCATCGTCCGCGCCACAACCGCCTGTGTTGTGCCGATCTGTAGCATGCCAAGGGCACGTAACCTTTCATTTTGGGTAAGCCGATGCATATCAATATTTGTGTTCTGGTCACTAAAACAATTAAACTGATGTTTCCACCCTGGAATTCAATGCCACAATGACTGTAACATTCAAAGTCAGAGTCGTGCAAATCTTGGGTTGGACCCCCATGATGATCCCAAGCATCACCTGCATTCCATGCGGTAGCTATTGGTGCGTTTGGGCGTCACATGTAACTGGAAATGTTTCTTCTGTTAGGTTATATAGTGACTTTTTTCGTAGTCATTTGCATATTTTAGTATTATGCCCCCAAAATCAAATATCCCCTACTTTTTTTGAATAGTATATTTGCTCTGGTTGTATTCGTGTTTATTCTCTTCTCGTGACTCACGTGGTGTATTTTTTTTTTATCTCCGCCGTTAAGACGTTCATCTACCAGAAATAACAATGCATCAGTTAGTTTTTAAATTTTATATCACGCACTGGTTACATAAGATACCAACATAGAATACAATAACGGTCTATGCTTTCCAAGAACTACATGGTTGTCTGACAAATGCCCAGAGATAGTTTTGAAGCTTTGGGTTTGAACTTTTAATAATCTAATTGGTCAAATATTACATAGTTAATGATGATGATTGGTTAATTAGCCTAATGAAGTCGAAAACCAACTTATATGGACAATGGAAACTTTCTACCAGTAGTGTCAGACGTGTTATCTGGTGATGTTTTGTTTTCACATAAAACTAGCTATGTTTTAGTTTTGTAATTCTTTTTAAGTATTAAAAGAGCAAAAATTCTATCAATTTTACTACGAAATACACAACAGACGTTCGAATAAATACATAATGTGAAAAAGACAAAAATTCACAAACGCGTGCTATTAAAATAGAAAGGGAATATTAATCCAAATGACCTATAAAACATTACATACCGATGTTTTACAGTTTATCACTTACCGTATATCCATCCAATAATAATAGCCTCCAGAAATGTCACCAAAAACACAGTCACGGCGGTCAAATACCAGTCTACCAGTTGATATATGTATATTCCTGCCTAAAATTAACCAACACGTGGCTCTTAGATAAAGAAGTGACGTCCCTTGAAAACAGTATGTTATAGACATCGGCTGTAGCAAACTAACCCAACCTCTAATAAGTGAACATGTTACCAAGAGGCTTGGATTATAAATCCATTCAGCAGGAAAATCGGCATAACTTTGACGAAATGGATAAAAGAAATGTATTTTAAATCCCGATTGTGTGTGATAATAATCCAGAGAGGGTCCACTAGTCTGTCACTATAAAAATACTATAAATATGGGTATCAAAAAATCCAGCACGATATACTGAATGTTACAGGCCGTGTTTGTTACGGTCCAAGTCAGTAATGGGATTTCGCCCGTATATTCCGGACATGTCCGACGCTAGTTTCCAAACTTCCTAAATTGTCTGACAGGAAATATGCCCAACCGGACATCAAGACGTAGTGAATGATATTTAAAATTACAGGGAAGTCAAGGGTCAAAATGATATAATTGTTACCTGGGTATCAAAAGAAAACGATCAGGTGACCTCCTGAAGGTTTCAGAACATTTTATATGAACACAACACCACGATACTGTAATATACTCTTCAAAAAAAGTAGGGGATATTGAAATGCAAATACCTATGCAGGTTGTGATCTGATAAATAGTCATGAATACTTGGCATGCTTTGAGAGTATGTTCACAGATGAAGAACTTATCGCCCCAACAGAACCACTGAGCTGCACATGCGACACGCAATAGCGCCATAAGAAGGGTTGATGAAAATTGCCGCGTGCTGGTTTATCTATCCATATTTGCTTTTCTATCGTTTCTTGCATAAGATTTACTGTTTAGCGTATCGTTTGCTTTAGTGTGTTACGTTTAATTTGATCAACCGACAACACTGCAAGAATTGGCCGTGATACTGCAAGAGGAGTGGGTCAGATTCCCCCAAATCGTTTTTGGACGATTGATTAGGAGCATGCCACGACGAATTGCTGAATGTCTGAGGATTGATGGAGCAATTACTCATTATTAAGACAAAAATCAAAAACGTCCAGTTTCACTTTTGAAGGTGTATCTCTTTGCGAGTGAAATGGGGCCGTCAGATAAGCCGCCCATATGAAAAGAGTATATTACAAACCATTAGAACGATATTTCGAATATTAGAAGATATCGATCAATCGAAACAACTACCAGGATTTGAAAAATGCAAGACATGGATATCACATAAATCACGATACATCGAATGATAAAACCTAAATTCAAATACCTCACAAGTTTCATTTTTGACGCAAATATCTTTCTAGGAAGGAAAATCTGTCGAGTCTTACATTGAATGGTCGGGGTTGGTGTATTACACATTTCATTGTCGGTCAGGGTTGGTGCTTAACATTTCATTGTCAAGGTCAGTACGTTATGCCATGGTGAGTGCCTCATTGCCAGGGTGGTCTATTGTAAGCGTTAGGGTGGGTGGGTTAGTATTATTGTCAGAGTTCGTTAAGGGTGTGCATTACATGTGATCATCAATCGTATGACAATAATAGATAAGTGAGCATTTGCCAATAATCAATATAACTTACTTGAGTTGTATATATTAAGGTAACTAAGAACATCAGGAAACACGTGACTGCTGTAACCAATAAGCGTATTTTCGGGGTCTTTTTTGGTATCAAATCTGATATTGTGGTTATGCATACTTCAACATTCACAAACTATTAAATAAAATCGTATTAAAAAATGTTGCTGCTAATATAGCTTTATTTGATTTAAAAGCAATCTTTAGAAATAAACCTGAACGATTCGTCTTCTGTAAATGATAGATCTCTTAAAGGGGCATGCTCGGTTTCAAATAAATATTGAAATTTAAAAAGCTGCGAAAAATGGTTTTCCATAATATAATTAATGCCAATTATTTAAAGGTGCGAAGCGTTTTGTTACGGCGAGGGAATTGCTAACTGTTTTAATATTCGCATATCATGAACAGTTTGTGGCATTATGCCTTCTCAAAGGGAAAACCTCAAACAATAAAAGAATAATGTCTTGGGAAATTATACACAATATGTTATATGAAAGCGCATCTCTTACCATTGAATCCAGTGCAGCAAAAACAAGCATCAAGAAAAATAATACCGCCCATAATTGAGGTATTGGTAGCTGACCAAGAGCTTCTGGGTAAGCAATGAAGGCTAGGCCGGGCCCTAACAACAACAAAACAAGTAGAATCATGGATAGACAACCTCCTTCTTATTATTAAATTCTAACAAACAGTGTACATATATGTAAAGCAAATATAGATAGTAATTGTAATATTCACCTGTACGAATAATCTCAGCTACTTCTAGACCAGTTTGGTGTGACATGAAGCCAAGCACAGAAAATACCACAAAACCAGCATAAAAACTTGTGCCTTCTCCAACAATACAAAAAATGATGGTGTCTCTGAAATGGTACAAGCCATTGTCGCCAATGTTAAAGCCGCTGATCGTCAATTGCGTTTTTTGGGGTAATTTCCCAGGTTTAATCTACGCCAAAATGTATTCATAGTGATTATTCAACACTTAATTAAGAAAACAAATCAAAATATCAACGGTTAATATTCTCCCAGCTTGGAGATGGTTATGATCTGAAAGAACGATGAGATGGTTAAATTAGTAATTATTACCCCTGTCATATTCACGTTTATTTTGTGTTTGCACCCATTTTCTTATATATTAAATTATATTATGTCGTTTGCGACGCGACGGAGAATCCTAAGTTGGTTAGCCGACACGGCCGAGCGGTTGGTAAAGACAATTTTGTCCAGTAACACGGTCCACGAAGTATTGGCGAGCTAAGTTATATTAAATTTCCGAGTAAGCTCAAAATGAGTACACATAATCGGTAGCTCAAAGGCCAAATATGACCAATCATGATTTTCCATAATAATGTTAATTCACCTTCGACCGTATAATACTTGCAGAACATGCAACAACACCTCGCTATTCAAGGAGCTGCAAGATCGCGGAAAAGTTATGGTGTGATGTTGTTCCATGAGCTGATAAATCAATGTTGTAACGACTGTGAACCTTACCTCATAATATTATTGTCAAATTTATTATAACTAGCCATTGTGATGAATCCTCCCCACCCCATACCAGTAGAATAAAACATTTGCATCAACGCCTGTGCCCACATCTGTAAAAAGAAGAAATTAAGAATCTAAACTTCTTATCAAGCTATCCTGTACCTCTAGAAATATTCCACGTAACATTTATAGATTCCTTAACTGGTATGTTATTTTTCATTAGTGCTTGCTTTGTCAAAACTGTGGCAATATTTAAATTCATAACAATATAAGATCACCAGTAAATAAACCCCAAGAAAAGTTCTGATGCAGTTATTAACAAAGTGTATTTAGTAACTAAAAACGATAAACAAAAGAGAAATAGATACACTTACAGACTGGACTAACCATATACCGAGGAAATTACAATACAAATTTGAAAAATGAAATGTCAATCATTAGTCTAAATTAACGCATTTAGACAATTATAGATTTATGTAGAATTAATTATATACTCTTAAAAAAAGTAGGGGATATTCAGAAACAATACAAAACTGCGGAAATGCACTGCTGTTTTTATTAGAGGTAACCAGTGTATGTTAATAGCGGGCCAATTGCCTACACATGAACATAAACAGTTCATATGGGCGGCTTATCTGACGGCCCCATTTCACTCGCAAAGAGATACACTGTCAAAAGTGAAAATGGACGTTTTTGTTTTTTGTCTTAATGTGTAATTGCTCCACCAATCCTCAGACATTCAGCAATTCGTCGTGACATGCTCCTAATCAACCGTCCAATCACGATTTGGGGCAATCTGACCCACTCCTCTTACAGTGCCACGGCCAATTCTTGCAGTGTTGTCGGTTGATTTTAACGTCGACGAACACGTCTCCCGATCAAATTAAACGTAACACACTAGAGCAAAGATACGCTAAACAGTAAATCTTATGCAGGAACCGATAGGAAAGCAAACATGGATAGGATAAACCAGCAAGAGGCAGTTTTCATCAACCCTTCATTGAAGTGTCAAATTTGACTATGAACCCTTCCGTGTGTATCGCATGTGCAGCTCAGTGGTTCTGTTGCGGCGATAAGTTCTTCATCTGTGAACATACTCTCAAAGCATGTCAAGTGTCCATGACTATTTATCATATGACAACCTGCTGTTACATAATCACAGATTATCTGATGTTATAGACGCTTCCTGCCAACTTGACACCTGTTCGATATCGACATCCCTGGAGTTCTTGGTCTATGCGACGATTATGTAAATGGCATGTTTTATTTAAACTTTCTTTGTCTGATTAGCATGTATCGAATGTTAAACCTGATATGATACATTAGCCTAATAAGATCCTTTGTTTGGAAGGGTATATAAACCCAGATTAACAAACGAATAGACCCAGAGGTCCGGACAGGACACGAGAGCGGAGGCCATGGGCGCCTTGGCACAGACGAGACGGAATGAGGGAGAGCGTATTGTACATAATATGTTAGAAGAAGCAGAGATTAAGTATTATAAGATGTTAAACTAATCTTGTCATCCAGAACCTGATTAAAGAACTAAAGAACTAATAGGTTTTTGCATTTCAATATCCCCTACTTTTTTTTGAAGAGTATATTACCTGAGGATTAGCTAATTTACTAAAATCCGGAATTATGTAGAATTTGACACCATCTATAGCACCAGGTAAGGTAGCAGCTCTAACTAATAGTATTGTAATAATGATGTACGGTGCTGTAGCTGTCAGATACACGACCTAAACAACAGGTGAAATATAAACCTGCACATACATATATTATAAAAAAAATAGTAATAATTTACAGACTGTCGATTAAAGCAAAAACCGTTGGACCACTGTTTAGTTGGCATGTATCGTCCGAAAGTTAATATTAGTTTTAACTATTGTGTCTTTCATAGATTATTTATGTATTATCTGCCGTTAACATGGAAACGGGTAGCATCTTGACGGGTAATAGCGATCAGGCCGGTGGTAATGATCCACTGCGCTATACGTCCCGGGTCTGTAATGACACAGGTTTCACTGAAAAAGCCAGTAAGAGATTATCTATATTACTGTATATCTTTAAATTTTTATTTGGCTTACACGTCTAAATAAATAGTTTCCAATACATCTCTCAAATAAGGCCATGATAAATTAGTGTTATATCACAAACCTTTCCAACGGATTTGACACCTTTTATTATACAGAGAAATATAATTATCCAACTAAGTATCAGCGGAACAAGCAATTGCCATTGCATACTGCCAAAATCATCTAATCCAGTTGATATCCTTAATACATTGTAGCTGAAAAATACGAGATGACACTGAAACACGGCTTATGTTTCCTTTTGTTAGAAGACCCCTATTGGATACCTATCTGTAATGTTTTTTATGGATATTTTTCTTAAAACTTTAGTCCGATGGCTATATATTCGCAGATTTGTTTTTGTTAGCCACGGTGGGTAACACGCTGACTCGCTAGCCTGGGGGTCATGGTGCCGCTGCCGGGCAAATTTCCCTCATAGCACACTGTATGGCGTATACTCGTCTTCATTAGCCGAGTATAGGGGCAGAATAGTAAGACGTTAACCCTCATATCATTTCATTCCATTGCAGATGTTTTTGTGGGGATTTTGAGTTTTGCGAAAACAATAACCAAGCACAATTTCATAAAAAAAAGTCTATCATTCGTAAAGTCCTACTCTCTGTCAGTGAAATACCTGTATAGACTTAAAATAAATGTCCGAGAAGGTACTTTCTACCAAATATTGTCCCGCTTTGTTTTCAATCTTGCCAAAGGGCCAGGTAATATGATACAATCAACACCTTTCCACGGCCTTAAAAACCTTCAATTTACAATCACGACGATTGCAGACCCAATTTTTAGTGTATTGCACTTTCGTTTCTTACTTCCAAAATTCTTCAGGTGCAGTAAGACCAATGGTTGAAATATTCACATGCGTCGAAGAAACATTTCTACCCATCAATGATGAATGGTTTGTTGCGTATTGAACGATCCTGTTATTGACACTGACTGTAAAATTATTGGTGTGGTTCCCACCAGTGCTGGTCAAATTGTCGGTTCTGGATTGGTGAATAAAGCACGTGTCTGTATTCCACCAGTTATCACAGGTCGTCCATGGCAATGGAGACATGAAGGAATGAAACAGATAGTATAAAATCCAGGCTAGGATCATGGTATAATATAAACAAGTGATGCCCGTAACTACGACCATTGCTACTCCTAAACCTGCAAAGAGCAAATCAAAATTATGAAACTTTTTAAAAAATTTATCAGTCAAGCAACATTTATTAGCTGCAATATTGTTGCGTCGACGCCGTCTCAGTTACAACTGGTAAATTCATTGATGCTTTGCCTAGGTAGGAATAGCCTCAAATGAATAATTTGACGTCATAATTTGTATGAAATAATAAAAGGAAGAAGACCGGTGAAAAAATGAAATGAAATGGGGTTTGGCGCCCTACTGTTCTGCTCCGATGGGTTCATGAAGACGAACATACACTTTACAGACGAGTGAAAGTGAAGAGTAATACCTAGTAGAAATAAATTGGCCTTTAGGTAATAAATTAAGGTCTTGGTGTCTTCTAATATCAGGTAACAAGGAAGGGTTGATAGCCTTATAAAGTAGGAGACAGAACAGACAAATGATTGATTTAATTATCTAGACAGATCACAAAATGTAAAGATATACACGAACGGATCTGACGATCCATTCGCAAGAAATCTGCGATCACAGGAATTCAATGTTTTATCATTTTATCATTGACTGTTCAAAAAACTTTTGGTTAAAAATTGGATTTTAAAATTCCTTATTTCGCAAAGCTATTTTCTGTTGCATTTTTAATGTCTTTTAAATATACAACGAAACGGTTGACAGTGACATCAGTTGTATCCCATTCAGTTTTAAAACAAAGCATATGAACAACTTCGTTCTCATAGAATTGTCTGTGCTTCCATCTACGACGATAGTTTATATGTCCAATCAACCCCATGTCTACTTCTAATTTTACTATGTCCCGATAAAGTGCTATGAGGACGTCATGCTTTTATTGCTATTTCATTATTTTTGAATTGTTTATTAACAGTTTCTGAAAATCGAAAATCTGGAGATTGATTCATCAATTGTTTGCTGACCAAGAAGACAATGGCCATCAGTATTTTTCCCCTTTTCATTGACATGGAGTCCATAAGTTTTCGTATGGCTCTTTGAAGTAGAATGGTCAATTGGATTTGATAACCTTAGATTTGCTGATCCATGCATAGTCAGCCTCTTGTCAGCACTGAATTTTGCCAAATCTTTGGCGATCAATTTATCAACCAAGGTGGTTTTGCTTAGTTTTCGTTTGTTCAAAGTTGGTTTTGAATTGGGAGTTGGTGACTTGACAATCTCTCCCGAAACTTCGATGTCCATAGATCGCACTTGCGTGTCTGATAAACTGTATGATGTTATCGAAATGAAATTGGTAATTTTGCGAGACATGCCAGCGATACTGCCAGAGGCTTTGTTCCAATCAGTGCTAAGTATATAGCGTAGTTTTCGTTTGTTCGGAGTTACGGTTTCTACGTGGGTAAGAAGCTGGTTTGCTAGTCTGGAAATGAAATAAAATGGAGTTTAACGTCTTACTGTTCTGCTCCGAACTGGGCTAATCGAGACCGGCATACGCCGTACAGTGTGCTATGAGGGATTTTTTGCCCGGACAGCGGCACTACCGCCTATTCTTATATCGAATTCCAACTGTCAAGGGGTCTTTAACGTGCACGCCAATGTGTACACGGGACCTTTATGGTAATTATACATGTACTCCGTTTACAAATATGTAAAGGGTTGGGTGGCTGAATGGACCTCTGTTTTCCGTCCCATCCGAACGACTAGACAGCTGTCCTTGTCAGGTCCTCCGTGCTAGACTGGAGGTCGCGTGTATGATCCTTGCATTGGCCGAGAAAATTCATCGGGATTTATCGACATGGTTTCCCCTTTTCAGTGGTACAAGACGGAGGGCCAGACAAGGACGGGATGGGACGAAAGATCGAGGTACCGTGTATGCATTGGTGTGCACGTAACAGATCACTTGGCAGTTGGAAATCAGTATAAGCGTAGGGCAAGTGACGCTGCCCGGGCAAAATTTCCCTCATAGCACACTGTACGGCGTATGCCCGTCTTAAATAGCCCAGTTGGAGCAGAACAGTAGAATATTAAACCATTTCATTTCATTTTGTTCGACGAAGTTGTTTTGAATTGGGGGTTGGTAACTCTCCCGAAACTACTTCGGTGTCAGTGAATCCTACATGCGTTTCTGATAAATTTCGAGAGATGTCAGCGACACAAATCAGTGCTATGTGGATAGGGACGTGACAAACGGAGGGGGCATTGACGACAGGATATTTATAGAAACTACGATTTCCAGTTAAAACAATGTCGCAACATGGATCTGATCAATTGCAATTTGACCCACGTTATGACAGATTCCTTTGCACACCTGGGTTATAAATACGTAAGTCTGACAAAGTAAATAATTGTAGATAACGATAGAATGTAGCGACTCCCTACATTGAATCGAGATTTTAGACTATATGTTTTTGATAGGCAAAATAAAGTATCGATTTAATGCTTACAAGAGAAAAGACAAAATACATTTTCATCGTTATAAACTGTTGCAATTATGTGCAAACACATATAATATATTACCTTGTGCACTTTGCGTGTTAAATTTCAACTAATAGAGCTGCTCTTTCACACCAACATTATCTTTATGTATGGGAATGGAATTCCGAGACTAAGGCCATGGGCGGAAGCCCGGGTGGTTTGGTAACTAAACTGACATTTTTTTTAGATAAAAAAGTAATACAATTTTCCGATTGTGAGTCGTGACATTCAAATTATAGATGATAGAGCTACGCAAAGTTAGAACTTGATAAATAACATTATTTTCCGAAAATGGCGAAAATCTCGAACAAATCCACAGACCGTTAGAAATTTTTATTTCACAAGTAGCAATTAAAGTATAGCGTCCAGGAATTTAAGAGCGAGAACACCATGCAGAGGGTGATGACCCTTGTGTCGTGGATTTGGACCAAAACGGTTAGTACCCAGATACATCCCCACAAAATATTAGGTTGATTTAGTTAATACCAACCTGGCAAATTGGAAAAATATTTTTTGAATAGAAAAATACTCAAAGAATGGGCTAATTTGGAACTACATTTGCATGATCTGTTATTCGGACAATAAATGATTTGGACAGAGGAAATTTTGGGCATTAATAGGGCCACCCAATGATATCTTGGTACTGGCCAGATACTCAACTCGCTCTGAAAATTGAATTTAATGAAAAACAAAGTTTGAGAGGCTATAGTTCGTTCTTGGCAGGGACTAGGACCAGAGAGAATATGTGCGATTGGACAGACAACACTTGACCATGTTACCTACAAGCCTGCCTGACATACCTTATGATCTAAACCGCATGTGTTAGACCACTTTTGACTTAACTAAGGGACAAGTTTCACGAATGTCCAATGAATTGAAATTTACACAGAATAAATCTTATACGAATATGGTATAGTACTGAAATGAAACATATTTCAGCTCTCGGGTAAAAGATCACTACGTTGTCAATAGCTGCGGAGGGTTCGCAGCAGCACCTACAGAACGTTCTCGTGGCTGGAAATGTTCCGTGGAGAACCGGACAACCGATCACAAACTGTTACGTCGCTCGTGGCTTGAAGAAATTGAAATGTTTCTGAGGGATGTACACGTTCGCGCGTGTAACAGGTTTAAAGCAGAGGGGGATTATAGATGATCCAGTGGCATTGAGCCATTCACACATGATCAGCATGACTACACATGCTTAACTTGATTACCATTATATCCTTCAAATTAACAATGGGTGAAAGGTTAGAATTGCATATGTATACATATATAGAGCTGTTAAATATGGTATGGTATTTAGAAGCCGACCAATTATAGAAACATTTGGAAGTTTTAATGGAGAGTTATTGAATATCAGGAGACAAGAGGGAGAGAGAGAAATGGGGTTTAACATCCACTCGACACAAACTAGGTTATTTCGGGACTAACATATGGATTAATTTTATTTCAATAATTCGCTTGCGCGTAGGGGTCTTTAGCAGTGGGAGGAAACCGGAGGATCCGGAGAAAACCCACCAGGTTGGACAGGCGACCCTACTCCTTGTCACGTACAACCGGGGATAGAAACCACGCCAGTTGACTCAATGACAGGCCTTATGATACAGCACGCACGTGCTAACCATTCGACCATCCAACCCCCCATCAGCAGACAATTACATATTGAAATCTACTGAAGGAGAACATGACATATAAGCCAAAAACATCATTACAACAAGCGGTTGCCATGCAAGATACGCCCACATTTTGCAAGAGATGGACAGAGAACGAGCTAAAACAAATTATATGTGATTTTTTGTACAACCAGGGGCCATAATCCAGGAAGACATGGTTCGATATGGAACCGAGATCTGTGGGTTATTAACATACATTTCAAGTTTCATCAAATCGGATAAAAATTGTGACCTCTAGTGTGTCCATAACCGTCGTATTAAATACTTTTATACAATTTGCGTACAAAGAGCGACCATTTTGTTGGGCCGTTTCATTTAAATTTTCCCGAAATTCGAATTCAACCTTCATTATGACGGAATGGTGATATATTTAAACGGTTTTTAATATTGGAAAAAAAGTTGTAGCCTGTAGAGAATCCGCAAGCTAAAAATGCGATTTTCGAACAATCAGCGGCCATAATCCAGGAAGTTACGTTCGGATATGCGTGATTATCAAAAGGAACCAATATCTTAGTGTGTAACGGTGATATATTCACACGCTATTTTTTTTAAATCGGATAAAAATTGTCAAGTTTCATCCAAATCGGGTTAAAATTGTGACTTCTATACGGTCCACGGGCTTAAAAATCGATATTTCGTACAATCAGGGGCCATAATCTAGGAGTTACGGTCCGATACATGCCAATATCGAAAGGAACCGAGATCTTAGGGCGATAAACCGATATTTCAAGTTTCGTTGAAATCTAATAGGGCCTACAAATTGTGACCTGTAGAGTGTCCACAACAATTGTGGACGGACGATCGGACAGGGGCGACGACAATCATGTGGGCGTATAAAAATGGGGTCCCAAAACTAAGAACATAGGAAGGCAGGTCAGAATCTAAGTAAGTGAACACTTCTGCTCGAACAT